CTTTGTCACAGCATAAATGTGCCGTAGCCCCGCTGTCTACGCACCAAACGTTTTTCATTTGTTCATCTGGTTTAGCCGTGTTTAAAAATGATACAAACTTTTCTGATGCCTCGCAAAGTATGGTACCCAATTTATTTGTGTTCTTACTGTCCTGCATTTCACTTTTTTCAAATTTTTCTTTCTTTTTAGATCGACAGTCAGCTTTAAAATGCCCTTCCTTTCCGCAATTAAAACAAAATTTACCCTTCTTGAAACTTTTCTTTGGCTTTCTTGAATCCTGACTAGTGAGCACCTTAATGTCATCTACATTTTCTTTGCTTGTACTAGCCAATTGCCTCTCTGCTTCCTCGGTAATTTTTATTTTTAATGCACTCAAGCTTGGCAGTGTATCACGCGATTCGATCGCGACTACAAAACTTTCAAATGACTTTGGTAAGCCACTGAGAAGCACTACCGTTTTAACTGCCTCTGGAATCTGAACACTTACTTCCACTAAACCCTCTTCCAATTCTTGGAATTTGTGTAAATAATCTTTTACACCCTTGTCCTCTGACATTTTTATGGACAACATTTGCTTTACAATTAATACCAACCTGGCTGGTCCAGTGGGCTTGTGAATTTCTCTTAATTTTTTCCATGCCTGCAGCGCAGAACTACAATTTTTATGTGGTTCAATTGAGTCGGTTTCACACACAGTAAGATCGATGCAAATGCCTTTTCGTCTTTTAACTCAAATGCCGACCGCTGCTCAAGAGTTGCATGTTCCCCCAAAGTTATTTTACCACTCACTATTGGCCATAGGTCACTTTGTATTAGAACACTTTTCATTAGTACTTCCCATGTACTGTAATTGTTCTCGTCCAGTTTTTCTATATGAAAGTTCGTATTTCCACTCATTTTGAGACTTTTGTTGAGTTCTTAACTTTGCTTATACTGTGATACTGATTCGTTGGGAACTGTTTTAGTTGGGATTGTTTACCCGGCTATGGTTCCTTCTCACAGCCAATCACTCTCAGATCACAAGCACTTTTAATTATAACTTTTTGCCGTTTTTCACCCGCAACATAAGAACAACAGTTTCTCTTATTTTTGCTGCGCAAAAGAATATCCCTCATAACACACAACGAGACGATCAACAGTTATTTTTCGGCAACACTTTTCTCTTGTCCGGCGCCTTGTGTCTGCAGTTATTTCACAATTCTATGTATTTCGTATTTTGCGCGCCTTGTCTTGCGCCTTGCACTTTTTGCCTTTGCCTTTGCCTTTGCCTTTGGGCTTCTCTATGCATACATACAATACTTTTTGTCTCTGCCTTTGGGCTTCTCTATACATACATACAATACTTTTTGTCTCTGCCTTTGGGCTTCTCTATATGTACATACAGTTTGTACATATGTATGTATAGCTGAGATTAGTTTAATCACATTTACTAGCACATTTGGTTAACGCGGCCTCTGGGCCCATAACCTGTTAATTGTTTTTATTGAGTAGCATAGTAGACTTATAACCAAATAGTAAATGTAGTACAAATGTATGTAATGCAAATTAACACGCGCTCGTGATCACGGCCACACAAGAACTGATCGTAAAGCACTCGGTCGCTCGTACGTAAAGGAGCCCGTGGTGAATATGAAGTGTGTTGTTCTTTTTCTTATTGAGAAGCCCTGATTGCTTTACATTTTGACAATTGCCAACGCTTGGCAGCCACTCAAAGTGTAGCAACCGTAATTGCAACAGCAGCAAACGATAACAACGTTTTTAGGACGATCATTATAATCATGCAATTTGGCCCACGTCCTTTCGAAAGGCTGGACGCTTTCAGCCAAAAGAATTGTTATTACAGTTCGCAAAGTCGTTTGGCTTTACTGGCATACACATAGACACACACACAAATTCATACTCTATCATAAATTCGGCTTTTATTGACAACATTTTGCCATGTGACACCACAGTGCAAAAAAAATTCATCAAACTTGGCAGTAAAATTGATAGTTCCGAAAAAAAGCCCCATCTGCCGTGAAAAAAATGGCAACTGTTTTTCATAATATTTAAAAACATGTACACTTTATCTTTTTAAGATAACATAAATCAACCAACCATTTTCCATTATTTTTTTAATTAATCCAATATTTGTCGTTTTTAGATTTAAATTTATATATCCAATTGATTTAGTAGTGTACTATTTCTTTCTCTGCATCAATGGGCTGGTCAGCTGGGCTCGCCGGCTCTGTTTGCCGGGTAAAAAATGTATTAAAAGGAAAACTCATTAACGGCTCGTGTTTTGACTGGCCAATGGCAAGGACCTTCGGCTCGGTGGCTTCTGCTCCTTCGGTTGGCCGCCTGGTTGGTTAGTTGCTGCCAAGCGACGGGTCTTCGACTACATATTGCATGTTGTTTTGGCTCAAATAAGCCCCAACAGGCCGGCAATTTGGCAAAGATTCGAATGGGAATAGCCGGGGATTCGTATCGCAGTCGCATTTAAGTGTTTGTTATAAATTATTCGGCGCATTTTAAAACCGGACAACCGAATTGCAGTAACAGCAATGGCTTTTTATGCAATTTTACTGCACTGTGGCCGCAATCTGACCCCATGACGCACAACATATGTATGTACATTCGTATTTACGTTTGTAGAACATCCTGTCTTACATACATAACTTTCCGGTTCGCCAAGTTCTGTTTTGGTTCACCCCAAAAAAAAAGGGGTTGCTTTGGTTGGCCTTTGAACTCTAGAAAGACCAGGTGAGCCAAAACAGAAATTCAATTTGCCCGTAGACATTTTAATTATGCAAATGAAAATGATTGCCTGCACCTGTTTGAGGTCTCATCGTAGACAAAGTTTTCCTATTTCGTATCTACACAAAACAATGGAAAGACCACAAATTTTGCAGATGATTTTCGAAACAAAAATAATTTGTGAAAAGCACTTTGTTATAATTTGTCGATGGCATTGTTTAAATTTTCTATACAATTTGAAACAGAATGGTTCTTATTTGCTAACTTTGTTAAAAATCTTCGCACTGGCAAACAGTAAACTTTTGTTTCTAACTGCTTTAGCAACTTCACAAAACTTTGAATCATTCGAAGAAAAACGAATTTAAACTTGTTTCGAAATTAGTTTTTCCCCACTCGCGTTAATTGAGCTTCACTGAATAAGTTAGTACTTGAGAGCGTAAAAGTAAGGGGTTTATAAAAGCGGAACTAAAACTGTCATGAGAACTGAGGCACATGGCGAGCACTCGCAAAGTACTTTTAAAAGCTTTTTTCCGAAACAGTTCCTCCCACGAGCAACATGTTCTATTCGCAACCTTGTAAAAGTCTGGGCCGAAATTAGCAAAAAATGCAAAAATACTATTTGGAATATGGCTGCAAAGGAGTTGCGTGACAGGATGGGCCAGACATGTCTGACATTTGGAAATGCCAGAAAGGATCAACCGAACAGTAAACAAATCGCAGACAATTGACTGACTGACGTGTTGTTTGCAGAGACACACAGAAAGACAGAAAAAGAGTGAGAGAGAGAGAGCACGACAGAGTGACAGAGATGGGCAGACAGCAATTAGGATTCAATCCATTCAGTATGAAATACAATTAAGAGCCATTTGGAGCGGTAAACAGGCAGTGAGCAGCAGAAGCCACGTCAGTTATGGCTTCGGCACGTCGCTAAATGTGCAATTATTGATATTGATTTTGGAGCCAAAAGAAAACTGCAGGGCAAATATTTATTTTGTTTTATGGATACCCAAAATTCCCGGAATAGTTGATAAGTCTTACAAATTATTGAATGAAAAAATAATATAAACTTCTCTAGTTTCTATATTTTTTTTGACATACAGATTTTCAGTTGAAGTATTTTTCCTTGGAATTTATAAATCAAAAACCTTAATTTATGGGCTTTACTTATTTTTCTCTGTGCACAGCAGAAACCAAAAGACTGTTGAGTAAATCATTCGCCTGTCGAGCATTAAAGCAAATTTATTGTTTTTAATGATGGCCCTCGAGTCCTTGACTGCGAGTGCTTTCAATTATTGAAAGGAGCAGACAGCCGACACACAAATACACACACACAGTGTATTTCACACCGATACACACGCACACACTGGCGCTTTGGCGGCTGTCTGCAAATGCTGCATAAATAACCGAAAAATTCATTGCATACCTCGGGGCGTGGTGCATGTCGCGCGCCAATTAAACGCCCGCTCCTCCAAAGAACGCCAACAATTTCGCTCATTTGCCCTCCTCGCACTTGGCTTTCGCAGCCGGCAAATAATACTCGTATGTTGGCGTGTCGAGTTGGCCTATTCAACTAGTTGGCCAAAGAAAAGCCGCTGGCATGATTCCCCCATCCGATGCGCTCCCCCAACAGCCCATCAACCGCATCATTGAATTTGGCTTTTTGTGCGAAGCACTCTAAATTTTGCACTGCCAAAAAATACACAAAATTAAGTGAATCGGGGATTAAAATATAAAAAACTTATGGATTTGTTTTTATGCCTCTAAGTATTTATACTATATTTCCGGAAGTAAAAATTAATGAAAGCGATATGAAATTGAGTCTTTTATAGTGAAGACTGCATTGTTTAAAATTATATACTAATTGCTGAAGTTTTTTTTCTACATTTTTTAATATTTGTAAAAATAAAGATAAAGAGAAGAATGCTAAAAAATTTTGTCATAATAAACTCCTCAATTTCGCTGAGTGCAGTTAAGCTAAATATATCATTGCGGTTAGCTGAAAAGCGAATGTCTGCGCTCATCCAGCGGAAGTGGAATTAGCATTTGACATTTAACGAACTAGCAACGCTCTTTGTTGCCTGCTTTTTATTCGCACCGACTTGGCCAGAAAGCTGAAGGTCGAAGGTTGGCCCAATGGCAATCCAATTAGGGATAAGCATCGAAATCGAAATCGATACCGTAGCTGCACTGCGGGCTCTTGCAATCTAGAAACTAGATCAATCCGAAATTCAAATTTATTCCCCTTGTTCTAATTGCCGTTTCAGACAAGCAAATGAAAATGCAAAACTGAAGATTGCCCGATTCCTAAATTGCTAGCAGAGATCATGTCAAACGTGAGTATTTGAAGAGAGTTGAGAACCTCAGGGCAGGCAGCTAAATTAATATTCACAGCTCCTCTACATGGACAAGTCGAATGGCAATGGCGTCTATGCGGTCAGGCCAAACAGCAGCAATGGCCAAATGGACAACGATAATGGCCTAATCGCAGCAGGTGCTCCTGCCACCACCTCAACCACATCAGCAGCAGCAGCAGGAACAGGTGCAAATGCAACCATGATGGCCACTACAAACAACATAAGCATAATGAACGGAGCGGCTGCCGCAGCCGCAGCTTCCGCTTCCGGTCTGCCCACTTCCGCCTCCAGCGAGGACCTCAGCCAAAGCCTGTCCGAGTACACGGATGCCGACGAGAGCATATCCGCGCCCACAGAGTTTCTGGCCGAGGTAAGTGGAGCTCCAGGTTAACCAAGTAGAAAGTCCTCCAAAATGCCACAAAGTGAACTAAGCAAAGTTTGTGTACAAACGAGCCAAGTTTTAGTTTCTGTTTCCGCTCGAGCGGATTTTCGGGTGAACAAAATATGCAAAATGGTGGCAGTTACTCTTTATCAATTATATATATGACCAGAGGGGATTTATCAAAGGTAACACAAAGTTTGAAGCGAAAGTTTTTAGCAAAAATATCTTATACGCCTCTGTATTATTTATTGTGGTATTTTATTAGCGTTTATACATTTAAAATACTATATTACATCCATTAGGATTAGGTGTTATATGAAATACATTGTTCCTGCTGCCATAATTCAAACAACATCTGTGGCTCACTATAAATAGCCCCGTATTTCGTTCCTCTCATTATAATGATTATCTAAGCGTGGCAAACTTTTCCTTTGTTGCCAAAGAGGCAACAACAATGAGGATCCTTGGCAGGGAACTTATGCAAATGCAAATTGCTGTGCTGCCAACGGAGATTGCGGATTTAAGTTAAAGTCCTTTCGGAAGGATTACGGCACCGAGCGCACTTGGCCAGCTTATTGATTGCTAATAAATTGCTTTCGAGCGCATTCAACTTTCAGCAGAGTCAACTTTTTTGTACGTCGCACAATCTGGGCAACTAGATTGGGGGTAGTGGGTATACTCGTATATAAGCCCTTTGTTGTTGAGATGTTATGAGAATTTCAAAAGGATTTGATGGCATTCCCTTAAACGTGCATTGTGCGTTTCTTGTTTCTCCTGCAGTTCCTGTCCGCCGTGATGCTCAAGGACTACAAAAAGGCATTGAAATACTGCAAATTGAGTGAGTACAATAAAAATCAACTGCCGAAGTATGCCAACGGATTTTCGAGAGCTGCATTTACAACTATTGTGTTTTTGATGAAGCTCAGAGAATCCTTTTTGGCAGTATTTAATAAGGTTTTTCTTATAATTAATTTTGTTTTCAACTGTTTTCTTTTCTGTAAAGCAATGGAATATATTTTATTAAGAATTCTTTTCATACTCACAAAAGATAATGGTTTCAGTCACAATGTAGCTCAGAATATAAAGATTGCAATTTCTAATTATTTTTATTTTATTGTTTCCACATGTAGTTCTCCAATACGAGCCCAACAATGCCACGGCCAAAGAGTTCTACCCACTCATCCTGGACAAGCTGAGGGCAGGTAAGTGAACTGCTGATGGATGGCGAGGCCACTCAATTAATCCTTATCTGTTTGCCCCAGTGGCCACATCCAGCGACAGCGATGAGAACTACAATAAATCTTCATCACCCGAACTGGCGTTGGATCTGCATGCCTCCGATGTGGAGGCGGATGTCGACGTGGATGAATGCGGCGATGGAGAAGCGGATGTGGATGCGGATGCGGATGCAGATGCAGATGCTGATGATGTCGATGGCAGCGAGAGCAGCAACAATTGCTCCGAGGAGGAGGATAATGGATGGGGTGACGATGAGATTGACAATGTGGATGTGATGGATGGCGAGGAGGAGAGCAGCAGCAGTGGCGACGACTTCGAGCTGCCCATCGACGATGCAGGACAGGATCCCGTGGCTCTGGCATCCCACAACCATCATGCTCACATTCACTCGCATTCGCATTCCCATTCGCACAACGATTCGGGATCCTCGAGGAATTCGTCGAGTGGCGGAGGCGGTCGCAGTGACAACACCACACATTCCTACTCCAGTTTGCTTTTGGAGGAGGAGGACGACATCGTGCCGGTGAGCCTCAACTTTGGCCTAAAGGAAAATCCAGCTGCTGACCTGGATGTGAGCAATGGTTAGTACATGACTTTGGGCTGAGAAAAAGTATTTATTTATTAAAAAATTCTTCATATTTTGATTTAAGGCAACAAAGTTCCATCCGCATCCTGCAGTGACTCGGAATCCCCAACAGAACCGCTCACCCAGCGTCTGGCAGCCATCCTTCGATCCAAATGCGGAGTATCCGCTGGTGGCACCGATGAGCCCTACTAAATATAAATATAAAAAACTTAATCCAACACTGTGCAGGAATTGTTTTGGTGTGGATATACTAAAAAGGGATTAAAGTAATGGCAATTTTGTAGTAAAGAAGAACAGAATGTAATTGAGGTTTAAATTTTTTTACCTGCTGCACAGTGACATCTATATATTCTTGTATAACTCTATAAAGACACTCCACCCTTTGCCCCGCTAGTCTCTCCACTAGTGCGATCGCTTTACGAACCTAGAAACCGTCCCTAACTGCATACTCTCGTATCTCGTATCTTGTATCTCCAATTGCAAACGTTTTCTCCCTAGGACAAACATATCGTACAAAACTCTATAAGTACTTATATACATCAATACCTATTTATACAATATATATATTGTACATGTTTAGCCTAGACATAGCCACAGAGCCCAATAAAGATATACTCGATATTGTAAAATGCATATGGCGATGATTAGGTGATTATACACGTACACATGAAGTGGTAAACCAAATCAATATATAGATTTACATAGATTTACACGTATATATTTTAGTAAGACACCCATTCAGAACGCACAGGACTTGGAATGCTTTACATATTTGCATTTGATAGAGATCGATTTTTTCCCCGGGATATAGAACAGAGATACGGAGCTAAGGATAAGTCTGATTAAAGACAGAAAGAACGAACGAACGGAAAACTACAACTGAAATGGTCCAAAGTCACAAACTACGTAGAAGAATGTAAATATATATATTTTGTATCAATTAAGCCTGTACTCAAGTCTCTTAATTCGTTCGATTACTTTTGTTTTCTAAGTTAAACAGGGATATAACTCTAAAAACTCCCCCGGTAATAAACATTATAATTAATAATATTCATATAAATATTTGTATCTGACATGTGTAGCTCTCTCGGCTAAGTTTTCCTAACTGTATTGTTGAATTATATAATCCAAATGGTCTGTATGTTCATGGAGGACAATTGTAATAAAATGTGGCAAGAAAGCTGGAAACAAATTCGCCTTCTTATTATCGGAGCACTAAAACGCACTTTTGGGTTTGTTTATCAAACATTTGTTATTTATTTTAAATCCATTATTATCAAAGATCTCATTGTTAATCGTAAACTTTTTATTAACATGACTTTAAATCATTTCGTATATATTTTTTGCTTATGGGTTTTTATAAAACTTTGCTGATGATATTCGAAAATGGGGTGTTTTAAAAAGATTTTGAAGACTTTGCTCACTTTTATGAAATGCATTACAAAATATACCAAAATTGCTGTTGGCCTGTTAGTGCCTTGTATAATATTATAAAAATTTCTCTGCAGATCGGTTTGAAATGAGCTATATATATTATCTTCCACCATCCCATGTAGCATTCTGATATGTAACAAACTACTTTGATTAAATATTTCATATTTTCTCTGCTCTTTAAATACTGCTTGTTTTTGAATTCGTTTCTTATTATCATCATCATTATTATTATGTTAATGTCGTAATGATCTTTCAGCACCAATGAAAATTATTCAAATAAAATACAGCATAACAAAATTCGTTCTATTATTAAGATTATTTCGTTTCGTTCATTTGTTTTTGCGTAATAAACTATTTTTGTTGTAAGTTGCTCAAAAAAATCAGGTAATGAAGCTTTGTTTGTTTTGTTTCGTGTTGTGTATTGTGTTTAGTTCGTATCTCAAGTGACAATCCAGAAATATTTCGTTTGCTAAGCCATTGGTAAGAACTGATGCTGCGCAAAAAATGTTCAAATAACTCGAATGATAATACATATTGCCAAGACTCTCTTAAATTACTTATAGATCAAGATACGACTTCCTTGGCTGATCGGTTGCACCCGCAAGACCAACTGGCTTTTTAACAATATTTAACATACTTACTCATTGAATTAAGACCTAACTTTCTTACAGTGTGTGCTGTCCCTTCGGGTTGAATATTTTTAGATTTAATGCTGACTGAATGATTAGCAGCGTGTGCTTCGTATAAACCTGCTAAGACTGCGTGTGTTTCATATGCCTATGCTTGTGTGTGGTGTGTATATATATGTAAAGAGTATAGTTCCATATATTATAATGTATATGCGCTTAAGTTAGATTCTCGTTAAAAAGAAACTTTCTTTTGAAAACTTCAGGTGTTGCTTGTACTGTCCAGTAGAATTAGAATAGAATTACATATATAATTACACATTGATTACGCTTATGTGATTTCTGAGGGTCATTGGCACTACGATTAGGAAATGAAAATCAAATTAAAAAATAAAAACAGACTAATTTAAAATCAATAGGTTGGGATGGAGTTTAAAGTATTTTTTTATTCAAAATACAACATTAAAACACATGCACGCTGATGTGCGAAATTAAAACTTTACGACTACAAAGTAAAATTAAAACTAAAATTATACAAACTAACTTTAGGCCTATTACTATATGGAGGCATTCGATAACGCACAAATAAAATTTAAGTTTAAAAGGCTTGACAATAATCTTCAACAGCTTACTTTTTCACACAAACTACTGCCAGGGGGCAAACAAATTGTACGTTATATGCATGGTTATATAAAACTATGTACGGTTATCAGTCAATGAAGTCAATGTGGGATGAGTGACAAACACATCTATGCACACAGCGCCACGTCTAACGCTCTTTGTTCAACTTTGCTTCGTGTATGTTTCGACTCACTTCTAATGGATTCAAGATCGCGGCTTTATGTCTCATGGGTCGATTTGCAATAATAAAAACAAATTAAAACGATGTCAAAATTACTTTCTGGTAAATCGATCTATCCTACCAAAACAAAAAAGCTGCTTCCAAAGTATTCAAGATCGCGTTTTTATGTTATATGGGTAAAATTAAATTTATAAAAATAAGAAAAAGGTGTCAAAACGACTTTTTTTTATAAATCGACCCATTCTGCCAAATGATTTAGCTGCTGATGACGGTACTACAAACTATTAAACTACAAACGAAACGTCGCACGACCACGCTGGCTTAAACTATTCGCTCTGAAGCGAAAGGCTTCGACTGATTTAATGGCAAGCCGCAGTACCACTCTCTGATCTGCGGCTTAGTACCGCTTCTATAAGCAGTTCGTCGACTCCTTGGCGTCGTCGATGTTGGTGTGGTTCTTGATCAGCAGCTGGGCCGATGGATACTTGTTGAGCTGCGCAAAGCGTTCCATCACGCACGACGAACTAAGTCGGGCCTCGGCGTCGTGGTCCCAACACTCCTCCATGGTGTCGCAGAACACATTAAGACCCTGTGGTAAAACCAATGTTATTAAATCCTTTTCACTCAAGTATTTGTAAGGCAGCACTTACCGGATGGGCGCGCCACGAGCTGAGCAGACGCGGGCGCAGCTTCTTCATCACCACGCTCTCCTGCACTTCGTCCAGCGTGGGACGTTGACCCAGCTCGGCTTCAAACGGCAGCTGGAACTCGCCGACGGGACCGGCAAAGTCACAACGGGAGACCATCTCCCAGAGAACCAAGCCGCAGGCGTATACATCTATACGCAAAAAGGCGTCGCGATTGAAGTTTATGGCACCTTCGAGCACTTCGGGTGCCATGTAGCGACGAGTGCCAACTTGGCCGTGTGTATCGCCGCACGGCTTGCCCGGCTGGAAGATCATGGCCAGGCCAAAGTCGGCTATGCAGGCCGTCAGATCGCTCTTGAGCAGCACGTTCTTGGACTTGAAGTCCCTGTGAGCTATCGATGGCTTAAGTCCATCTGTCTTTGAGCCAGGTATCTCCTCGTGCAGATGAGCAAGGCCATTCGCCATGGACTCGGCAATGCGGCACAGCTCCGGCCAAGTAATCGTGTGCGACTTAAGGTAGTCACACAGCGATCCGTTGTGCTGGTATGTGGAGATGAGCCAGTACTCCGGCTTGTCCATGTGCTTCTCCACGCCCAAGAACTCGAGGATGTTCGGGTGGCGCATGCGCGGCAGCTTGTAGATATCGTGCTCCGTGGTCCACGACTCCTTCTCTTGCATGCGGAAGATCTTAACGGCCACATCCTGGCCGTGCAGCTTGGCCTGCCACACATCACCGAATCTGCCGCTGGCCTTTTGCTCCAGCAGTTGAATGGGACGGTTGCTCAACAATGGCGAGGAGTTGGTGATCTCCGCCTCGTGCTGGAAAAATGAAATAAGGTTAAGCTTTCAAAATTTATGTTAAATAATTCCCACATTCTTACCGTTGGTATCTCGTTAAAGTGCGCCTGCTTGCGGCGTCGATAGAGGAGCAGGCCCATGCCAACGATGACCACGAGCACGCTAAAGATGGAGGTGCACACGTAGATATATATCAAATTGCTGCCATCCTCGGTCTTCTCCTTGGGCACTGCAACGACACAAGGACACACACGGGAACGAACATTAAAGAGCCGCTTTAAAAATGCTGCGCCTTGCCACAGGTGAACAACATCTCGAGTGGCAGCGTGCACCTGCTGCCGCTGCTGCTGCTGGGGTTGCTATCAAAGGCAAAACGAAAACCAAAAAACGAAAGTTCGCCCCCAATTTCGCATCTCTTTTTTCCCCTCATTTTGTTTCGAGATAAAAGCGAGCTAGGCCCCAAGAACAAAACAACAAAGAGCAGGGCACAAAAGACGCCCTGGCAGCAGCAAAGGCTCCCAAGTCAAAGGCAGTGGCAAACACCCCAAAATAAAAATAGAAAAGAAGGCTAAAGGGGAGTCATCCGACTAGAATATACCTGGCACGAGTGTCATTTTTTGTTTATATCTTTGCTGCGAGATAAAACTGCCAATTATGATATTAAATCTGGTGAAGAATAAATTTTACAAATTGAATTGAACATAATAGCTACTGCTAACCAACATTTTTTTTCAGCACTGTGCCTTTAATAACTTATTTTTGAATCTAAGTATTTACTTCTTCCAAAGCAACGCATTATACCCGTGCTTTTAAGGAGCAGCTTACTATAAAAATAAAAACGAACCAGCGAACGTGCACAGGAGGGCAGAAATTGCAACACATGCGCCTCCAAAAGGGGGTTGCTGTGGACTGGGGATGCGGAAAATGATGGGGGAGCGGGCGCCACTTCGCGTCGAGAGTTCGTTAACACGAAAAACGTTGCCTCGGATGCCAGGAAAGGGATTTTTGTGGGCGTACCAGAGTCCCCCTTTCCTTTTTTTTGCGCAACTTGAAGATGCAATAAAAAACGAGTAACAAAAACAAACAAAAAATATATATGCAAACGGAAAAAATAACAAAATTGGGGTAAACACTCCAAAGACAAATCCCCGCAGCAGCAGCAGCAGTAACGCATTCGAAACCAAACCCACCTTGCGTGGTTGCCTCTATCGTGCTCTTGATATACTTCTGGTTGGAATTGCACCGCGATCCTTTGCAGCAGCAGAAGTGGATGTTTCCCTGCCTCGGCTCCGCGCTGGTCACGCACTCCGTCTGATTGCACTCGTGCAATTCCGTGAAGCAGCCCTTCATCTTGATTCGCATGGCGCCTGGGGAAGCGGGAAAAAAAAGGAAATGGAATCAATCAGTATGAAAAATGTGCTCATTTGCTGCCCGGCTCACCCGTTGTCTCGCTGACCGACCAGAGAACATAGCAGCTGGGAAATTTATCCGCCTCCACCTTACAGAGCTCTATACTCGTCACGCATCCCTGGGTGGTATTGCACATCTTCTCGTCGAAGTTCTCGCATTTGATCATGTTGTGACCCTCGGGCAGGATGGATCCACTGATACCCAACAAGCAGCAGGCTAAAATCATATCAATTTGAAAGTAAGCAAATTGTAGGAATACCATGATTAAGGATAAAAGTTAATGGAATTATCGGTCGGAATTGCTAAAGGGGTGGGTAAATAGAGCCGAGCCTATTTGGGGATTGGTTTTAAAAGGGAGGGCGATGGGTGAGCCCTTTGTGGGCGCTATCCTTTGTACACATATCGCATGCCCGCTAGGAGTAGTAGGGTCCTAAGCTGGGGCCTCTGCCATTGAAAGCCACCCCATTCGGGCACGGAATTAGCCCCACTGGCCACACACCAGCCTTTGAGTGGGCATGGCCCCAATGCACGGATATGCAGAGTACAGTGGGACTAGTCAAGAGTTAATAGGACATTTGGTGCTCTACATTAATGATAAAACATTATGAAACAAAGACCTTATAGTTTCTAAGGGACTAAATATGTATATTTTTTAAATAATTTTTTTATTCGTAATTATGCTTCCTGTCCCACTGTCCTTTTGGGTAATCGGATCGCTGACTCTGTGAATGTGTGCGTAAGCGTGCATGCTTTATAGTAAAGTAGATACATAAGCAGGCACATTATGCACACAGAATGGGATGGGTTTAAAGTGGCGCTTGTGGGGAAAAAGGAAACAGCGGCAGCAGAAATAACAACAACAACTACAGCAACAGGGAAGAGAGCGCATTGCGCCATAGAAGGAGACAGGGAGAGAGCCCCAGAGAAAGAGAGGGAGAAACCAGAACCTGCCATACAACAAGTTCCTAATGCAGCGAAATCCATTCAAAGATATGCTCAGCGTACACACACATGGCTTAAGATTGGGCTATACGTATCCATTCAATAAATACCCATTATTTGAAATAGTATACATAGCAAATATTATATGATCAACAGTAAATAAAACAATTATCACTTTTATATTTACAAAAGAAAGTAAAAAAAAAAATAAATTTCTGTGCATTATGAGATAGAAGCACAGGAAATAGCCGGATTATAATGAGAACCAAACCCATGTCAAACCTGATAGACCCCATATCTGTTTTAGGCGCCATGTGATATCAATAAAGCTATACTATTACGCTGAAGGCGGTACAAAGTCATTCACGAATGGAAATAAGCAAGTGTAAGTTCGATGGCAGCAAACATTAAAGCGGAATGTTGGGAAGGAATGTCAATCAGAATTATTGAATATAATGCGCTTGCAATTAAGGCGCAAATACATAAGCACAGTGCACCCTCACACTTAAAATCCCACTGGCACTCCAATACATACCCAGCAATAGCTGCGCCGTTAGATAAATCACTTCGTATTTGGACATTGTTATCGCCAACTTGTTTACAGCACTCGCTGCGTATACGTAACGCGATTATTCAGTTGTTGTTTTTGGGGGGATACTAATGGTGGAATATCAGTATTATTATTTTGGCACAGAGTTCCTGTTCGCACTTCTTCGCCCCTTTTCACTCGCACCTTCGACTGCACTCTCTTTTCGTGTATACTAAGTGCGTATGTGTGCTTGCCCGTGTGTTTGTGCGCCTCGGCAGCGAATTTGCTGGCCACACGCCGTTTGCATGCGCATTTTCCGCGGCTTTTCTTCGACTTTTCACTTTGTTTTCATCACACTTCACCGCGGCACAGTAAACAGAGGGTTTGGCACTACACTTTGTGATTTTTACAGGTCTGCAGGCCTGTTTTCCAATCGTTTTTCAATCGAGCACTTTTCGGTCCGTTTTTTTGTCGCAACGGGCGGCGTTAGAGATGGTCGATTGGCGATAACTAACCAGGGCTGGTTGGAATAGAACTAAAATACTGACTTCTCGCAACAGGTATTTTGAGGTGTAGAAGATTCGGTCTCATCCGTCAAACAAATTCTGGATTTTTCTTGGAAGGTGAGTGTTTGTGCAGAAAAATTTAAGTAAATAATAGAGAAAAATAGTACAAAAAAACCAGACTTTTTTGTTTAAACATATTAAGCGAGGATCAAGCCTTCATTTTCCAATGAAGCCTACCTGTTAAAAGCAGTTTTTGACCATTAGACTGCAACTCTTACTCCACCGAAAAAAATGGCGTCCCACTACAGTTAATTGCGTCTTCTCTTTTTCTTAGCCAATTTCGTAAAACCGACTAATCGAGTGAAAAAATGACTGGACGTGGAAAGGGAGGAAAAGGACTGGGAAAGGGAGGCGCCAAGCGTCATCGTAAGGTGCTCCGTGATAACATCCAGGGTATCACCAAGCCGGCTATTCGTCGTTTGGCCCGTCGCGGTGGTGTGAAGCGTATCTCTGGCTTGATTTACGAAGAAACTCGCGGTGTCCTTAAGGTAAGTTAATAGCTGGAGAACCCTAAGACACATAAATTAATCCTTGTAAAATTCACAGGTATTCCTTGAGAACGTTATCCGTGACGCTGTCACCTACACTGAGCACGCCAAGCGCAAAACCGTGACCGCCATGGACGTGGTTTATGCCCTTAAGCGCCAGGGACGTACCCTCTACGGTTTTGGCGGTTAAACTCGCACTTAAAGCCCCACTTAATATGTATTCAAGGGGCTAACTTAACTACATTCAAATTACTTGATCGAATTGAACCTTAATCAGTAGTATTCAAACACAAACTTAACCAGAAACATATTCTATAATTCCACAAAATATACGGACTAAATAAATCAAAAAATTGCGTAGAGCAAAGAAGTTGTAAATGTTTAATTTCTTTGGCGGGTGAGCTAAGTACTCAAATAATCGAATGCTAAACAAATCAAAATAACTGAATTGAGAGCACACAAATGGTAAATCTTTAATGGCAATCAGTAAGCCTAATTTCTGTTTTTGTACATTTTTGTCGCAGCTGGAACTCGCAGAGGGCAGGACACGTGCAAATAGGAGGTAATGCCCTGCTGTACTGTTACTGCTCGGGAGTACGACTGCAAATTTGGCTCTCCCAGTGGGGATCCTCCCATCGAATCTAGTTGGCTTGGGTACGGTGGTACAGCTCGTTGGTGGAGCCAGCAGAGGTGTCCCTGCTCCCGCTGCGAATGGCTGCTGGAATGCGGTTGTTTGGTAGAAAATGGGCAGCCTCCTAGGAGCTCGTCTCTCGCTTCTGGAGCTGCAAGGACAGGTACATATTCCGCGGCGAGATGAGTTCCCCATCTCCGTCCCCTCCATCACCACCTCCGCCCGCCTCTCCATCGCCGGCATCCTCCGGCAGTGACAACGAATCGGAATGCTTGCGCCGCACAAAGACCTGCATCGAGGAGTACTTGGAACTGGCCCGCAACGTGGAGTCCGTGGTCTCCGCCTCGTAATCCGAGTTTTCCAGCGTGACATCCGTCGAGGACACCTCCTCGTAGTTGGACATGTACGACTCGATTTGCATCTCGTTTGCCTGCACCGGATGATTGTCGTCCGGCCGAGATTTAATGCGTTTTTTCCCCGACATGACGACGTTCGCCTTTCGCTCCAGGTTACTAACAAACTGTGCCACATGACCGTCGCCCGCTCCTCCGACACGTTTCTTGGCGAGGGCTTCGGCCAGGTGGGAGGGTCTCTGCCTTCTGTGTGATCCATCGCCAACTGCATAGCCCTTCTCGTAGCCCCGCTTGATCGGCTCCTCCTGCTCATAGTGGTTATAGTAACCGGTGTCTCCCTCGCCCTCGAAGCGCTGGCCAGGATTCACCATGGCACTGTCGCCAATGTCCGTTTCAAATTGCACGGCTGCATTCAGGTTGAACTGGAATAGGGAAGAACATGATCAAGGTGGAATAGAAATTAAGGATTGTCTGAAGGTTACCCTTAGTTAATAATATCACTGGGGAGAAAAAAAGGTTCTGGAAACTCACATCTCGCTCGTTGGCAAACTCGTGATCCGACTTGGACTCGCGGTTCTTGTTGGCCGCCTCCTTGGGATTGCTCTCCACGTACTTCATCTCGCTGCGCACCTTGCGCACCTGCAACTGCTTGCGCTGCACCTGCATCTGCTGCTCGTAGTGCTGCTGTTCCTCGTCCAGAGGTTCCGCCTCGGAGAAGCTTTCCTCCGGCAGCTCCTCCACCTCCACCTCCACTTGGCGCCGATTCCTCAGCTGCTGCTCTATGGAAGGATGCTTGTTTTGCACTGGCGAGGCTTGCTGTTGCATCTGCTGCTCCTTGCGCAGCGTTATGATTTCGCTGCGAGGGGTGACCTCCGGACTGGTGACAGCACTGTTCACCAGCCGGTTGAAATGAGACTGGCGATAGCTCTGGGAACTAGGGAAGAGTGTTATAAATTACCCAGGATTTTATAGAGTTTCTGGACTGAATCTCACTCCTTGAGCACCTCCTGCATCACTTCGTGGCGCACCACATACTCCCTGTTCAAGTGCGATTGGGATCCCGGCCCAATGACCTTCTCCTGTGCCACGTTGCCAGAATCGGAGCTCATTAGCTGTTGGCTGAGCTTCTCGTTCAGCTTCTCGGCCTTCTTCCGCATCGTTCGCTCAAAGGAGAGCTGCTCCTCCAGTGTCTTCGTGTGGGCCAACAACTGGGACACGGTTACCTTCTTGTTCTTGGGCAGACTCTGCAATCCATTCACGCAACTGAGATCGTACTCCGGCTCCTGTTTCTCCTCTGGACCTTCACCCAAGTGATCCCGGATGCTGCGCAGTAGGAACTTGCTGATGCCCTCGTTGTTCCGCACACTGAACTCCGCGATCGCCGTGTTCATCACCAGGCAGTCGAGGATCAGATTCGCACCGATGTCCGTGAGGCCGCAGTTGTCCATGTCGATTTCTGTGGGGTACTTGGAGGGTATGGATCGCACTACTCGGATCCTACTTACTCTTTATCCAGGCGTCCTCCTTCAGCACCTCGGTGATCCACTGGATGCCGTGGTCGCCGATCTCCGGATTATCAGACAGCAGAACCGTTCGCAATCCTCCGATCGTGTTCACATCCACACTGCGATATCGCAACGACTTCTCCCATCCCTCTGTGAATCGAGTGATCTTTTGCATCTGTAAATGGGAATGGGAATAGGGGTAGGATTCCAAGAACTATTTATAAGTTCTTTGAGTACCTACCTTTAGCATTTCGGCCACGTGCGCGGCTCCTCTAGACGTCAGTCCACAATCGGAAAGGTCGAAGGTCTCGATGTGGTTTAAATACTTGGCTGTATTACAGACTACCTCACAGCCCTTGTCGCCAATGTTGGATTTGCGAAAGCTCACATTCTCCAAGCACTCACTTTCGGCCAAGGACTAACGATAAAGTCAATAATACCCATTAAGCCAATAATACCACCGCACAACCCACCTTGGCAATAGTCTCAATATAGCCATCCTGCAGTGGCAGGCCCTCCAGTTTCAGAACACTCAAATTTTTATTGCTCGAAACGCAATTGGCAATCGCCTGAACCAGGCTATTAAATACGAAACGCGTGTAGATCACCGGTCGCTGGCGAAACAGCTTGGCTCTCTTTTCAGTGTCAATTGGGTCAATGTTGGCTGGCAAAAAAATTAGAAATTATATTATTTATTTATTTATATTATAAATTAAATTATTAAATATTTTTTAAGAGGACCTTTCCTTGAAACAACTCACTTTGTGGATAAGTCCTGCGGAGTCGTACCACCAGCTGCTGGAGCACGAGGTCATAGTGCAACGCCTCAGTCAGGAGCTGCCAGTCGCTGACTGCCAATTTGTCGCCACAGAGCTCCAGGTAAGTGGTGGTCGCATTCTGCTTGCTGCGGATGTCTGGCACCGGCGTCAGATTTTTGGCGCGGCACAGCTCCAAGTAGCGGAAGTGGAACGAGCGGCTCTTGCTCGATTTCTTGACCAGCGGTGGAACCGTCACCACAACCGTATTGGTCTTTCGCGCCAGCTCGCCGGAGTTTCCCTTCCGCAGCATTGTAACTCGACCAACGGACATTTGCTAAGTGATCTAAGATAAAAATAAAAAATAATAAAAACATTAAATAAAAATTAATTACAAAAAACTGTATAAATAATTTAAACTATTTAATTAAAATAATATTAAATTTGCTCCAATTCTAATTCTACTTATGACAATAAATTGTATTTATTTTTAAAAAGCAACCCTCATAAATAAAAATGCTCTTTTTACATGTTAGTAAGCTCTATTGTTTTGACCCCTTGTAACCTTCAGAATTGCATAACCCCACGCACTTCCGGCTTCCAGTGACCACCGTTAACCGAAGCTCTTCCATGCTTCCAGTTACGATCTAGTACGGAGTAACAAGCTTGCAAATTGTAAACAAACAAAGCTCGCCCACCGCCCACTTTTTAAGCCGGTGGAATTTGAGTTTACGGTTGGCTAATTACTCCGCTCTCTTTCGACCCGGCTATATCTTTCTCTCTTTGGTAGAGTAGGGTTGCCATGGCTTTCAGCAACAACTTAATTTCATTACAGCCGCGAAGTCTCGTTAGCTTGTTTTTTGAATTCGACATCAGTCGTCGAGCGGCTGTTGTGGAAAACACTTCGTTCAAAAATTAATATTCGGATTCGCGGTAAACACTTAACGGTTTTCGCATTTCGAAAGTGCAAATTACCTTTCTTCGTACATTAGTTCATTCAGTTAAGAACTTAAAAAGACGGCACGTTCCGTTGATGGTTACAAAAAAAGTGTCATTAAGTGATCTGACCACCATATATTTATGCTTCTTTTCGAAGGCCCCTTTTTCCCCGCTCTAAACTCGAGTTCCGGTTCGTGCATTGCCCAATTTCGAAGCGTGCGACACGTTTATTTTATGCGGTTTCATCGTGTACTTCACTCCATACTATATGTGTGTTCCGCGGGGTTCTTGACTTATGCCTAATTACCAGTGACGTCGAAGCCTTTTCGAAAAATGTGTCAGCCACGAAATTTGTCTGTTCTCTGGTAGTTGTTAAGCGACACTCGAGTGTGACACTGCAAGTGTTGGTTGGCTTCACATAATTACTATAAAAGTGAGCCAAAGGATACCCCACCCAAAAGTCAGCCAAAGGATACTCAGCCTATAGGAATATCTACTTCACAGAGGGTAAGTGCGGAACCGGTTTGCATTTGTGTCCTGGCATGTGGCAGACTTTCGTTTGGGGGGAATAGTTAGGAGGTTTCCTTGACTAAGGAAAAGGGAATGATGTTCAACACAAGGAACTTAATTCAGAGAAAGATAATACAGAAACCTCATGACAAATGTTTTACAAAAAAAGTGAGAGAAGAGAAATAGAAATAATAAAGTAAATCTCCCAAATTTAGTTTGCTAAGTCTTAACAATTTTTTAATTACAACTCAAAATTGGCACAACTCCAAATGAGTTAACTTACACCTTGTAAATTTGATCGGTGCAAGTAAGCCTGAAGTTCAGCCTCGAAGAATTGCCCAACTTTGTTTCTTGGCAGTACTGCAAATAAGGTCAGATATCTCGTGTCAAGGACTTGCTAGCTCTTGCAAGACAAGCCAGTCAAATAAATTGTTTAATTGCCCGAAATGTAGAAATACTTGCAAAGCAGATTCGAATAGAAAAGTGCAAAAATCGAGTCAGAAAAGGAGCCCGAGTGTAACGGACAAATTGCCCACGACACCAGCTGAATCCAAAAGAGCCAAGATTCCGATTCCAAGAGTTGGCTGCAAAAGTGAGACGGATGCGGGCGTCGCTTGAACCCGGGAGTCGTACGAGTCTATGAGTCAAAAACCAAGCCACCGCAACGGACCAACTCCCCCTCATCCTCCCCTCCCCCTTTTTCCACCCCCCGAAAAGCGCTCCTTTGTTTGCCAGCCAGCAAACAATTGTTGGCTGCTGGCGTTGAACTTGACTGTCGAGCAGCAAAGCCGTTCATATCGGAATCGATGGGCATGACAAAAGGGCCCTAATACGGGGGAGGAAGTGTTCAAATTGGAGTACTCGGAACGCCAGCGGGCCGATTGTTTGCCCGCGGGCCGGAAACTGGAGGCAACATTGGTCACAACACGATCCGCACCAATCTCAATCTAAAGCAATGCACTCAGGAAAAATGTTGTCTATTCCTAGTAGGAAGTAGTAAGTTCAAATAGTGAAAATCAGAAAATTATTTATGGATAAAGGGTTACGATTTCCATATGTAAAATATAAATTTTTTGGTTGGTAAAATAAGTATTTAGCTTTTGTACTATAGTCGCAAAGTTGTATCTTCTATAGTTTATAAAATGTTCAATTGGAAACTTTTACGAAATTTAAATCCCTAGTAGTTATTAAAACCTCCCCTAGAAATCAATTGTATATTACCAATTTTTGCTCTTAGTTCATTTGAACATTTTCCATCCAAATTTTATGAATTTCATTTTACCAATATTTTCTCAAGTGTTCATATGTGACTGCTACTCTCAGCCGGGCTTAACATATTTAATATAATTAAGTGAGCCCCCGGCTGGCTTGGAAAGTCATGAACCGGCGATTACCGAAGCTGCCACGAGGGGCGAAGAAAGAGTCCGGGGAACTTGTCGCAGCGGCAGACAAATCAAAATTGTTTATTGGGATTTCCATTTCGGTGGCAACTACCTTGGAGCCGCAAGTTTTGTTTTCTGCGGTTGGGCCAGAAAAGCCACAAGAGTCGCCATTGGATACGACGAATGGAGTGGACAGTTTTCGAGAAGGATTTCACTTTTGGCCCACTGCTGCTGGGGAGCGGGTCAAAAGAACTCGCCAAGCGTGAACCCTGCAACCAGCGTCATTAGCACCGAAGTTCGCTCGGATTCGCATTGGGATACATGTGTATCTTTTTAGCTCGGAGATGGGGTATCTCTGAGCTGCGGAAAGGCGCCGTCGTCATGGTGCTTGGGCCAAGTGTTTTGTTTTGCTTGACTTTTCGGCAACTGCTCAGTTCGCTTCTGCCACTTTCCACTTACATAAATCCGGGGGAAATGGCAAAGCCTCCGACAGACTTTGACTTAACCGATCTTGGCAAGGCGGCGTAACTTATTAATTTGGCTTAATTCAGTGGGTTTTAGCTGTGTGGAAAATTGGCAGCCAGAAAGCCACACTAGCAGTGGGTGGAAGTGCCACTAATGGAGTTAATTAAACTAAACGCGATTTTGAATGGTCTCATTTGGAGGGAAGTGATAGCACAGACATTAGGCAAAATAAAATGAATGGTTGAATTTCCTCAAGTCGGATTTCCTGCATGTAGCAATAAATACACCTAATTTTATTGTTTCGATTTTTAATATAATTAAACCATTGTAGTAACAGGAAGCTTATTTTTACCCAATGAAGAAAATGAAATCTGTAATTAACTGCAAGGAAATATTGTACTTCAAAGAGTTACATGTACACCACAACGATTAATCTTTTTTTCTAAGCATATATAATTAGATAAATCTTAGTATAGGTAGTACTCACATATCTTTACTCCAAGTCTCCAATAAATTTGAAATGGTTATGAAACACACATGAACAATATCTGCAAATACAGAAAGCATCATTTACTAGAAGCATTTAAATTCCAAGGGTACAGCAATCTAGCCATTCCGATGGGGGGATTCCGATCCGATGCGATACAGCTTTGATAACCCCGATTCGGCGGTGGCGAGGATGCAGTGCAGCATGAAATTACCTGGCCAGCGGAGCATCCCCATCCCCGAATCGCCTGAATCGCCCGTCCAACTGACCAAACAACCCAAATGCCGTCGTTACACAAAACGCGCTGGCCACGGATGCATGGATAATTATCCACGGAGATGGAGAGAGAATTGGCCACCCAAAAACACAAAAAACACAAAATGCAGAAGATGCCGCAGATAATACTACACTACTATATGTCGGATGAAAATGTTGCATGCGGCGCGTGTTGAAAGCGAAATCAGGCGCGGATTGTGATTACTTTTGAATCGTGATCAGTTGCGGCGACTCTCTAACGACCTTGCCAGTTGATTTTCCCGCGATAAAGAGGTTGATGCAACTTGGTAATGAGCCATCCCCAGAGGCAAACAAATCAATTACCGTCAACGAGGCATTTACGATGGTTGGCCATTAAGAAATAGCAAAGCCAAGTTGCGAAATCAATGAACCACAATTGGCAAATCTCTCGGATCTCTTGGATCTCCTGCTCCGATTGCAAATTAACCTAACCGAGTTGAACTCGCGAACAATGGCTTTAATAATGCATATGCTATATGTATGCACTTGCAGCTGACAGTTGCAGTCATTGCTCTACAAATATATTTTTCACACAAGACCCCTGTGAAAGATAAGGTTTTTTTTTTGTGAGCCCCAAATGTGAAGCAACTTCATTATATTTTCGCGAATGCTGCGTCTTCTTCAAAGGCAACTTTCAATTTTCACTCCACTTGAGCGAGAGAACTTATCCGCAATTTGTTGGCAATTCGCAATGAGACAAATCTGGCACATGAATAAGCCAAAGTAGTAATAATTGCCGGGCAGTTTAGAAAACGTTCCGGTCGTTAAGCCACGTACAAAATAACGAAAAACCAAAGCAGCCGCGAAACCCATAAAATTTCTTTAGCGGAATTCCAGGCTGGCGCTGAGCCAGCGTTTAAGTTTAAGTAAACTGAAGAGTAAAGCCAATAAAGAGCTGACGCTTAATTAATTTGAGCATAAAACTTTCGCAAAGATTCGCTGGCCGATTCTCACGCAGAACATGCGGACATATAGTACATATAGAACAGACAGACAGGCAGACAGACAGGCAGACAGACAGACGAATTACCACCTGCAACACGCAGATTTGAAGTCCAGTTCCATTCGAGAATTAAGAAATCTGCGACCCAATTTAGTTCTTGTTTCTTTTTTTCGTTTTGGGTAGAAAACTTCTTTCGTGGATTTCCCATTTTTGAAGGCAACTTCTCGAGCGAAACTGCCGGCGGGTCACAGATCACGGCCCATAAAACGTGCGACACATGGGGAAAATGGGTTAACACTTCTCTGCTGTCGTAACACTCCGTCTATTTTCTAGGTGTCATGTGCAAGTGGCAGTAACCAGTAACTAGTAACCCCGAGGTTCTAACAGAAAAACCCAACAAAATGTACAACGAACCACAGTCGCAGTCGAGTGGCCATGGAATCGGCAGCATGGACTACAAGAAGGTGCGCTTAAAAGGAGGACAGCATAGGAAATCCCCTAGTTATATAAGCTCCATATCCATCCAAGTCACAATACTCACCACACTAATCAGCTTGGTTGCCTCAAATCGCCCGCCGCGTTTCGCAATCGATGGGCAGTCCGAGATTGTACTGCGTCTGAAGGAGAGTCCTGAAACGAAAGTGGGTAAGCATAAAGAACCTGATATGATTTGAACCAATATACAATCAATATCACACATAAGCTATTACTAGATATAATTAAAATAAAGAATGTATTTTAATTAAAGTACCACAATTTACAAACAATAAAAAAGATACAAGCTTTTTATTGTTCAAAATTGTATTCGCACATTCATGAAAATTGTTGATGCATCAAGTTTTTATACATATCAAAACTCAACGTTCAATTATCTGTGAGTTGTGCAAAATGCGAGCAGAATTAAATGAACTGATATACCACATGGTATGTGTCATGTTTTAATATTCTTGAATTATCATTTCATAATATATACGATCTGCTTAAAGCATTATCATCTTGAGCAGTTCGTTTCAACTTCATACATTTCATTTCCTATTTATACAAACAAATCTTTCCAGTATCAAATTTTTCATGATTTGTTTTTTTATTAATTTTTTCATTTAGGAACTCTGATATACACGCTAAAGGGTTACGATCCGGACAACGATCCACTGACCTTTGGCAAACGCAACTCGCACGACAGCGAAATAATTCGTATTGAAAACACTGGAGGCAACGAGGCCAAGGTCTTTTTGGCCAAGGAATTGGATCGCGAAGTGCAGGATGAATACTCCATAGTGTTAACACTAACAGATAGTCACTATAGCGATCATAACTACGTAACCCAGAGCTTTTTGCTGTTGGTTGAGGACATAAACGATAATGTCCCCTCTTTTTTGCCCTACCAAAATGCCATCGAAATTCCGGAGGGCAGTGCTCCTGGTGTGGTGAGCACTTTGGAGGCCACGGATGCGGATGAGGGAGCCTATGGCCAGGTGGTTTACTACCTGCAAGAACTAGATGGCGACAATGATGTATTCTCCATAGCCACACATCAGGGAAAAGGAATTTTGAGGTTGCAAAAAGAGCTGGACTACGAGAAGAAGAGTCTGTATCAGCTGAGGGTTTTGGCCATCGATCGTGCCAATCAGGGACCAGTTAACACAGGCACTGCTGCTATCCTTGTGAAGGTCAAGGATCTCGAGGATCAGCCACCAGAATTTGTGGAAGTTCAAGCTGTGGCCAGAATTGCAGAAGATGCTCCTGTGGGCACGAAAGTCCTGCGAGTGCGAGCTATAGATGGAGATCGGGGGATAAATAACCCCATAGCATATTCTCTGGAGGCCAATGATCTGTTCGACATAAATCCGCACACAGGAATAGTTCAGACTTTGACTCAACTTGATCGCGAGGAGCAAAGTGATCAAGTGAATGGAGCCCACATCCTAAGGATTTCTGCTACCGAGTTGTCCAAATCGAATACCCAAATGGCACCGACAACTGTTCGCACAGAAGTTACGATAATAGTGAGTGATGTGAATGATGAAATACCCACTTTTGGGGAAACAGTTTATCGTTGTGAAGTTAATGAGAATGCCCAGACAAACACCCCGCTCAATTTCATCGACGAGGAAGTACAGAACGTGGTTTTTGATCACGATGAGGGCAACAATGGCACCTTTCGATTGTTTTTGGATCCACCCAACGATCTGTTTGAAATCGTACCCGAACTGGCTGTTAATGAGGCCAACTTTATGCTGCGGGTGAAGAACTCAAAGTCGCTGGATTTCGAACAGTTCACAGAGATAAATTTTACCATATTTGCAAGGGAGGTGGATGAGCCAAGTCGATGGAGGTGGGTTTTTATTGCCAATTGTTGTTCAACAATTGAATATGTAATTTATTTCCTTTCTTTTTAGTTCCGCTCATGTTCAAATATTTATACGAGATCAAAACGATAACTTCCCGGAATTCAGTCAAATGGTTTATAATGCAAGTGTTTTGGAGAATAGCGATCAAGACACGATAATCACTCATGTTCAGGCGGTGGATGTGGATTCAGGGGATTATGGAACTATGGGAATACGCTATACAAATCTCAGAGGAGGAATAGCTCACTTGTAAGTTACTCGCGAATAAAATATGTTTCTAGCTAATAAACCTCTCCTTTTTCTCAAAGACTCAATCTGAATCCCATTACTGGAGTTATAACCATCAAGCAAGCGGGTGGCACTGCCTTCGATCGTGAGATGATTTCCCGGCATTATCTCACTGTAGAAGCGATCGATAATGTTGGTCAGGGAAATAGAAACACAGCCCAAATTATAGTGGATATACTGGACGTGAATGACAATGCTCCTACATTTCCTCAAAGGCAATACGAGACAAAGTTGCTGGAGAATCATGCCGAGTTTGAAACTCCTTTGCAATTGGAGGCTCGCGATGCTGATCTTAATGGAACGGAAAATAGTGAAATAACCTATGAAATTGTGGAGGGAATGTACCGATTAAATTTTACTATAGATCCAGAAAGTGGATTACTGCGTCCAGTGCATCGCTTTGATTTTGAAGAACTGGTGGAAAGGAGCAGTCGCAGAAGTGATTCTCAAACTGGAGGATCTTCTAATATTCGAGAGATTGATTTATTAGTACGAGCTCGAGATTCCGGAATTCCAATGCTATCCACAGTGGTTCCTGTTTTAATTTACGTGCAGGATGTAAACGATAATGCACCCATTTTTCAACGCAGCTTTTATGCTAAGACTATTCCAGAGGATCTGGAAGGAGGAAGTCCTGTCTTGCAAGTGACAGCCATAGATCGAGATGGATCTTCACCCAACAATGCGGTGGTCTATCGCATTCAAACAGGCGCTAGTGATAAGTTTATCATAAACTCGGAAACGGGAGTTATTTCGGTGGCTCAAGGAGCTAATTTAGATCCTGATCTTACGGACAACAAGCGATCACTTTACACTCTATCAGTGGTGAGTTTTCCCACAATATTTTCTTTAGTTTGAAATATATATTTTTCTTTTTATTTTTATTTAATAGATTGCTTTAGATGGTGGCTTGGGAAATTCACAGCTTATGACCACTTGTACTGTTAACATCAGCATTCAAGATGTGAACAACAAACCTCCAGTAATAACAGAAATGCCAGCTTTAAAAATTTTGGAGAACACACCTGTGGGGACTTTGGTTTATCGAATAAGGGCAACTGACTTGGATCAAAAAGCCATTCTGCGTTACAAACTCAATCCTGAACATTGTGAGGGTCGCACTGAAGAAGGAGCTTTGGTAAAGAGTAGCGAATACGACTTCCTGGGAGCCTTTGAGGTGGATCCTATAGAAGGAGCCCTTAAAGTGATTAAGTTGCTGGATCGCGAAAGGGTTGAGCATATTAAACTGGCCATTACTGTTGAGGATTTGGCAGCAGCTAAGGGAAGGCAAATTGTTGAAGGTAAATCCTAAAAATTTTCCACCTGCAATATTTCTTAATCGTTTTCCTTTAAAAATCTTTACAGGTTTTTTAAGCATTCAAGTTCTCGATGAAAACGACAATAATCCCAAGTTCCGGTTACCTTTCTACCGGCAATCAATTACCGAGAACAGCATCAATGGAGCAATGATTGTGAATGTGCTGGCCTCAGATGTGGATAAGAATCGCACCATCACCTACGCCCTGGAGGGGAATCCCACCTATCGATCCCTGATGCACTTGGATGCACAAACGGGAGAAATTGTGGTGGCCAGTAAAATTGATCACGAGCAACATCAGTGGCTCAACTTCAGTGTGAGGGCTACGGACTCCGGGATTCCAGCGAGATCCTCACTGGTGGATGTGTATATCACCGTGCTGGATGAGAACGATAATAATCCCTACTTTGTGGGTGGCAGCAAGAATTACACGATCAGTGAGAATGCACTACCAGGAACTCGAGTTGCCACTTTGCAAGCTGGAGATGCGGATTCGGGGGATTTTGGAAAGATAACCTTCCTAATGGATCGCATCAGCTCACAGGGAAAGTTCACCATAGATGCGGATACTGGAGTGCTTACGGTGGCCGATCGATTGGACAGGGAGTCGAAGGACTCCTACAACCTGGTAATCGAGGCTTGGGACAACTATCAATTCGGTTTTCTGGCTGGCGAAAGTCGCAATGCTTTTAAGCAGGTCTTGTAAGTTTGTTTTATCATATGTTATTTTAAAAGTATTACTAATTTTTAATCCTTTAGTATTTCCATTCTGGATGAAAATGATAATCCCCCAGAGGTTAGTGTCCCCACGGGTTGTGTCCTCATCACGGAATATCACGAATTGCACGAAAAAGTAGCAAACATTGTTGGCAAGGATGCAGATGATCCAACTACACCAAATGGAAGATTGGATTTCGCTATTACCCAAGGCAATAAAGATGGTAAGGTTAATAAAAACTCATCAAGTGATTGTATTTAAATCCTAATTATCCTGCTCACCATTTAATTTCAGGCATGTTTGAGCTGCGACAGCTTGACGCTTGGAATGCGCAAATCTTTGCCAGCAAAAGTCTGCGAAATAAGTTTGGAAACTATAGCCTCACTATAACCACTAGAGATCTGGGTCTTCCGGCGAATATTGTGCACAGCACTCTGGATATCTGCGTATCGGATTACAATGACCATGCTCCGGTTTTTGTGAGACCACTTCATAACACCACTGTTCGGATTCCGGAGAACGCAACAGTTGGAACTCTGATCCTGCAGGCGTATGCCAGCGATGCAGATATGGGTCAGAATGCACTGGTCAGATATCGACTTAAGCCAGATCCTTTGGGAAGTTACAAGATGTTCGATGTTAACGCTAATACAGGAGAACTGTTTCTGAGACAGCGATTAAATCGAGAAAGGCAGAAGATTCATGAGGTAAAAAGTATTTAAATAACTCCTTATATTCTCTGAAATTAACAACATTTTAATTTTATAATTTTTTTATAATTCCCCTGCAGATCCGCATAGAAGCTTATGATCAGGGTTTGCCAACCTCACTGAGTTCCGATTTGGATCTTACCATTTATGTGCGTAATGTTAATGATTACGAGCCGCAATTTATTGTTAATGAAATATCCGTGAACTTTACGGAGCACTCGGATCCAGGAGCTGAAAGGATTAAGCTTCCTGACACCATAGATAAAGACCAGTTGGAACTGGATGATCCAAACGAAACTCCCAGCCAGGTGTGCTATTTTATAGTGAAAGGAAACGAGGCGGGATATTTTCGACTTGATCCAGAGAGCCACATACTGACTGTTGATCGGGAACTAGATCGGGAAGTGACAGCAAACTTTACGCTTTATGTGAAGGCAACAGAAAATTGTGGAAATGATTCCCTAACAGGGGGAGCAAAGCGACGCAGCATGGGTATCGAAATTAACAATAGATTGGGAGGCTTTTTGCACAATCAACCGATGGGATATGATCGTTTTAAGCACTCCCGACAACTAAGATCGGCGGAAGACAATGAATACGAACCAGAGGATGGTGAGATGGTATCATATGAGGCCTATGACTCCAGTCAGGAGGAGCACTCTGCAGGATTAACTCCTTCGAACCCCGAAACAGATAGCACAGTGATCAAAGTCAAAGTGAGAGTTCTGGATATCAATGATAACCCACCTCGATTCCGTTCCAAAATCTTTACTGGTGGAATTACCACAAATGCGGATTTCGGTTTGAAATTCATGCGCGTTGAAGCTACGGATGCAGATGAGGGGGAAAATGGAAAGATTGGATATTACCAAGTAGGCGAAATCCGACAAACTCTCTCCGAAGGATTGGAAAATGTTCGGAAAGAACCATTCCTTCTTGATCAGGAAACCGGGGAAGTGCAGCTGAATTTTGACCCGCAGAAGGGCATGAAAGGATATTTCGATTTTGTGGTTTTGGCCAACGACACTTCTGGAATGAGGGATATTGCACACGTGTTTATCTACTTGTTGAGAGAAGATCAGAAAGTTCGATTTGTGTTCCGACTGCAACCCGATGAACTGCGATCTCGAGTGGACTCCTTCAGAGAGTAAGTAATGGTTAATCATTTTATAATTTTTTATTGAAATCTATCTATTATCCTCTTAAAAAACCTAGCACCCTGGGAAACATCACAGAATCGATTGTCAACATTGATGAGATTAAAGTTCATGAGAACAAAGATGGTTCGGTGGACAAAACGAAAACGGATCTGTATATGCATCTAGTCGAGCGCGAGGATAACTCCATTTACGAGGTATCCGAGGTGCTCAAGCTGATTGACTCGCACATCGAAAGTTTGAATGGACTGTTTAAGGAGCTCAATGTGCTGGACACGCAGGCGGCGGAGGCTCAGCTCCTGACCGCAGGACCCACAAGGGGTCCTTTGTTTGTCTGGCTTGTGTTTACCAACCTGTTTTTGGCCACGCTCTTGGTGGTCACAATTGCACTTTGTGCCTCCCAAAGGAATGGTTACCGCAGGCAGCTGAGAGCCGCCAAAGTCAATATATTCCGTAAGTATTAATTATAAGAGGTTGTGTACTCAAAAAAACATAACATATGTTATCTTATTTAGGTGGAGGTTCCTCAATGTCCCTGCAAAATACTCAGGAGCCTGCCACTCGTGTGCCAAATACCAACAAGCACAGTGTCCAAGGATCAAATCCCATTTGGCTAAAAGGCTACGACAACGAGTGGTTTAAATCGGAAGAAACTGGCAGGTGCGTTAGAAAAGAAATCTTTGAATCCCAAAATCAACGCTATTTTAATATATAACATTTTTCAATCCTTAGCCTTGGTGGCCACGACTCGCTGGATGATAACTTCCTGTCGGTGGCCACACAGGACATGCACGAAACCCTGAAGGGCACCGCCAAGTTGTTCAACAACAGCAACGATCTGAATCGACACTTCAACCTGTACAACCAAATTGACAAACTGACCAATAATGCTCAAATCCTGGCTCGAAAACTGGAGACCACGGAATTATAGCACCAACAGTCCACATTATTTATTGTACTTAGATTAGTATTAGGTTAAGGTCAGTTTGTAAGAACAATGTAAATAATCGAATTGTATGAAGCTCAACATTAGTCCTGCTGTCTTATATGACAAGCAATTTCGTACAAATTAAGGAAAATGTAACAATAAAACCGATAATAAAATAACTCTATTTATAAAACGTGAGTGGTGATGACTTTCTAATTTATCAAAACCTCTTTAATATTAATGACAGAAGCAGGAAAGGCAATGAACTTACCTCTGGTTCAGGTCCTTAGATAGAAAATAGTGGATAGGCTTCTGTTCAGGAATGATGATATAAAAATATACGTATACAGCACAACTGGGGGATGGAAGGTCATCCGTTAGTGGATCTTAATCCGAGGAGCAGGTGGCCTCCACTTACCACGCTTGAGTTTCCCCGTGGCGCCGTTTTGAAAACTGACGGCAGCTTACAAACGTACAAAAAAAGTGACTAATCGGGGAGACGGCAGCTCAGACAAGCATTTGTGCGCATCACAACCGAGTGCAAACGAGACGCCTGCTGGGATTCCAGGATAATTTCAGGGATTCAGGGTCACCGGGTCATCGGCTGAACTCACCTTGGCAAACTGGGAAGATCCGGACAAGATCTGGTGCTCAGTTGCGCTCGGATGAATGCCTTTTGCGCTCAGCTTTGAACTGGATTGGCTGATTAAAAGTCGAGCAAGGAACTTAAAATGGAAAACGATAATTTTCAATGTAACCTCTCAATTTTCTGGCTCGCCCGCAACTCGATGAAGCGCACTCAAAGAAACCTGGACAGGATTTGCAGCTGGTTTCTTAATTGGCGGTTCAGCGGCTGTTTTTGTATTTTGTTTTCGGGAGTTACTCGGAGTATGTGTCAAGTCAAACGAATTATGTTTTTAAACGAATGTAAGGCACTGATTGTCTGGCCACCGCCTGTTAGGATCCCCTTTCCGAGTTCACAGGTCCCAACAATAATTATCACTGCCCCGAAATCGATTGCCCAATGGATGAATGACAAGCCGGGGTGCTTTGGTTTTTTTTACTAAAAATATTGTATTATATTTTCAGGGTAAAATATTCAGTTGCCATAAAATCAATCAATTCTTTTTTTCATTTGCTTCGATTTGTTTTATTTTTTTTTTTTGTTTCGTTTTCTTAAAGTATTTTGTTTGTTTTTTTTTTTTCGTTTATAATAGTTACACAAATTAGATCACAAAAATGCACGTAAATTACAAAATGAAATTGTACCTCATACCGAAAACATAGACAAAACATTGAATGGTGGAAACGAGGCGGCTACTGGAGGGATGCGGGGCGTAGGTGTTCATCGCTACAGTTCTTACAAAGTAAAATATATATTTTTATAAAGAGGGTTTAAAGCATATAATCAAATACATGGTTTCGTAGTTCAGCTACAAAAATAAAAAACAGAAATTTTGTTCGCGTCACTTGCACAGCGAAGTAGATCAGAGTAAAGTGCGGGCCAACTTAATCAGTTATTAACCCGTGTTGTAATCGGTAATCAAATCAACTAACTCAAGAACGAATTCATACGGCTATATCCTAGATAGGGTTTTAAGATAGAGAGTGAGAGTGTGTGGGCGTTAATCGTATATCATATATTACAGAGTTCCATTATGTTTAAAGTAGTTCCTTCTGCTCCTATCGCTTTCGCACGGCCCAAACGAAAGAAAATCCCTATGAAAGATGCAAGTGTTCGAGTGTGCGATGGGTGCGATGCTCCAACATAATGATAAGTCGATGCGTGATTACATAATTACATAGTTATCTAGTGCTATTAAACGTTTTTCATTCATTTAATACTTGCTTAGATGCCAGGCGACAGATGAGAAATGAAAACTTACAATGGATGGGGATGGAATGGTTGGGGTCTGAACCTTCTTCTTTTTTTTTTTTTTGTTTGTGGGCTGTGATTTTGGGATCGGGCTCCAGTGAGTGGTATATAGATATATATATATATATATCGTATTTTAAAGCGTAACAGTTTTCTTGCTTGTTTTGTGTATTGTTGTATAAATATATCTCGTTTTATAAGTGGTTGCTTGTCACTAGACTAAAGAAAATTACATTTCATTATTTTCTATTTAATATTTGTTAATTTACAGAATCTAGTTAGACGAACGCAAGGTAAGAACTCAAAAATTGTCGGTCAGCCTAATTTTGCTTTTAAAATTTGTTAGGCTAAATTAAAATCGAACAAAGTTTCCGGCCAGAGCGCAATGGCTAAATAAGAAGAGCTTAAAAATAAATCAAGTATACACTTTTACATTCTGTTGATTTTTTTTTGTTAAATTGTTTTTTTTTTCCTTTCTTTGTGGGTTGGTTTAAATTAAAGCTTACACTTAATGTATGTGTACAGATATATTTAAGTAGTATTATGTATATATAGTTATATTTTATATATAAGTATATATAGTTGTATATATATTTAGTAATACGATTCGCGGTTTCAAACTAGTCCCTTGTACGTTGTATGTGTGTGTGTAGGTGTGGGGTGTGTGTGTGTTATGTGCAAACCAAGAACTAAACAAAACAAAAAAGGTATTCTGCTTCTGTTGTTTTCTTCTTGAAATTGATTGCAATTCTCGTTTGAGTGTAAGGTGTTCCTTGTTGTAAATGCGCTCACAAAATGTTTAAACAAATTCTAGGCTTACTTAGGTTAACGAACTCTCCAATATATCGCGTTCGTGCATTTAATTCAGAATTCAAATTTGTTGCTAGATTTCCTACTATTTCGGCTTCATAATTCCTGTCTGGTCTGGTATCTTTCTATTTATTTCTTCGTTTATATGTATAATAAAGCTGCTCTCTACAATCCTTTGTTTGTTCACTAACAAATTAAGTTACGTTAAGAGTTATGTAATGCTACAGCTTCCCGCGAATTTACATATTTATGTTTCTGTGTATGTTAACATATACATTTCTTTCTTATTGTTGGTTTCTTTAAATTGAATTAAATATTTTTGGACAATTTTTTTCAAATTTTTATGATTTTTGTTTGTTTTTTTCGTTTTTATATTTTTTTTCACAATAACGCATAGCTATATGGTTTTTGAATGTTAATTAATAGATGCATAGTGGCTTTTGCTTATGCATTCATAACATTTAAGCAGCATATAGAAGATGTGCCGAACCAGAATCGCGTGTAAGAAATGCCAAAAAGAAAATACCGAAACACTTTAGCAAAAGCTGCCCGAAATTGGAAGAAAATGTAGCTTGGAAAATCTCTATCTCTCTCGCTTGGAGGAGAGTCAGTAAAGTATGTGTGGGGGGGCCCTTAAATCGACCCGATGAGAAAGAATTAGGTCTGCACCAGGCCCCGGATGTCGGAGGCGCCGTTGCTGCTGCTATTGCCGCCGCCGCTGCTGCTGTCCACGAACAGAGTGGCGGCATCGATGCCGGACGTGTTCGGTGAGCGCATCACGGCTTCGGCCAGCAAATCGCCATCCAGGAAATCGTTAAGAAAGGCGCTGTCCGCTGAGCCGCCTATCGTCTGCTGGAGACACTTCAAGTTCTTATCGGCGATCTCCAGTGCCCGGTCCATGGCCTCGCACTCGGCTTGTTGCACTGCAACATCACGGTTCCAAGGCGAGGACGATGGCGACGGCGATGGTGATCGCGGTGGCAGTGGCAGAGGCACACATGGATTAGTACAATGAAAAGCTGAACAAGTAAAATTGTGGTTAAATACACACCGGATTGGAACAGCTCGTTGAAGGCATCGTCCGGCAGAGTGTCAAACACATTTACCAGATCGTGCTCCTCCAGCAAGTGAGCGCCATTCAATGCTATGTCATCTGCAAGAAAAAAAAAGGATTAGGATTCTGTGGCTCACTAGTTTTGTATCTCTTTCTCTTAGCTATTTGCTATAAGAGTTCCATTGAAGTTGATCTAAAACTTACCAGCATCGTTAGCGCCTATAAGTTCCGACTCGCTGAGTCCGCCCAAGCCGGTATCCTCCGAACTGGCGTACACCGAGCTGTTCTCGCAAATGCCGAACATATCCTGGCCCAGCAGATCTGCCGTGTTGGCCAGGCCAATGGGAGCAGCGTGGCCATTGTGCGTGGTTGTGTTCGTTGGCTGACCCATGGCGTTGCCAAAGGCCGTGTTGAATGATGGGAAACTGTGCTGGTTGTTGTTATTGTTGCTGTAGTTCATATTATTGTTATTATTGTTGAAGTGCACACTATTGTTGTTATTATGGTTGCTGCTATTGTTATTGTTGTTGTTGGTTGGCAAATCATCGCTGGCAGCTGCCAATTGGGCCACAATTTGGCTAATCTCCTCGGCCTTGATATTGACATTGGCCAGCAAATTAAGTCCAGGGTCTAACAACGAATCCACCTCGAGTTTGGGCACCAAGAGCTGCTCATGCTGCTGCTGCTGGAGCAGGTGTTGCTGCTGCTTGGACTGAAAATCCCCGCTGAGTGGTGCCAGCGCCGGAGGAATGGATAGCTGAGGCAAGTTCTGTGCTGGCGGAACAGCAACTGACATATTCGTGGGCGTGTAGGGCGGCTGAGAGTGCGACGCGGCCGACGAGTGCGAGTTGCTGGCAATGGACTCTAGCGAGGTGGTGCTGCTCTTGCGCTGCATTCCCGCTGTCGGAATCAGAGGCAGGGTGTTCATCTGGCTGCTGATCTGGTTGACAACTGGCTCGTTCGCCGGTTTCCTGCCACGCTTCTGCGGACGAGGTATCGGATTTGCGTTCGCCTTTCGTTTGCGCTGCTGCTTTACAGGCACACAAATCGTAGCCGTGTTCGTGGCCACTCCGGCGACGGGTAAGCTCACATTCACCTGCTTTGGTGCTGGACGGGCTGCATCCATTCCGGAACGCAAGTGACTGTGAACCTTGCACAGAGCCAGCGTATGGAACAAATCGAAAACGGGAGCGTGGCAAGCGGTGCCATCCATTCTCCAGGCTACGCAGGGCTGGAAAAGCTGCTGAGTGCTGTTGTTAACGATGTGGCGCTCGCAGTGGGCCGCCATGGTAAGCGTGGTCTGCTTACAGCTGGACACCAGACAGCGGTTGCCAATTCCTCTGCAAAAAATAGAGAGTTCATTAGTAAAGTTCAGAAGAAGTTTAAATGCAGGTTTACGTACATTCCCTGCTGTTGGCCGGCGTGATCCTGGTACTTGATCAACATGTTTTGGACGCACTGCAGCCGCTGCTTGGCCGCTCGCATCGGTAACTCCTGCAGCGACCTGGTGGACAGCAACTGCAGCGCCTGTCGTCTCAAGACTCCCTTACGGACCGCAATCCGTTCCTCACGGCGGTTACTCTGCGACAAGGGTGAGTCCACCACCTGATCCTTGGAACCAGAGTGCAACCAGTGCTTTTGCACGCAGTAGGGCGAGTCCGCCGGATAGATTTCGTTCTCACTCAATGTAGTCAAGGCAGGCTTGCGGCGTCGCTGACGATGTGCCGAATCCGTTGTTGCCTTGTTTGCTGACGAAGCAATCGGTTCCTTGGGTGGCGGCATCGAAGTTGGCGGCATTTTCTTCGCCGCTATATTGTTGTTTTTGCTGTTGTGGTTGTTAGTGATGCCTCTTCTGCCGCCAGTTGAAGCTGCGATCGCTTGACGATTGACGGCATTGGTATTGGCCACTTTGGAAGACATTTGTTCATTTTTCTTGGCTAATGCGGGTGCTGATGAGGTTGTGGTGGCTGGAACAGCTGTTGATGCAATCTCCAGAGAATTCGTTGAAGTGGGCGCTGACGAAAGCGAGAGCTTTGAGGAGGAGCTTGGAGGCGGCGGTTGAGCCGCCTTGTTGCCGAGAACTTTCAAGCTGGGCGTCAAAGCTGGAACACAAGATGTGGGCATCTGCTGCGGTTGCATGTGAGCTAGCACAGGCGGTGCAGTAATCTCCGGCGGAGTGGGCGGCGTCAGCGGAGTCACCAATTTCACACCCGTCGGTCGAGATTGTTGCGCTCCTTGTCCAGTTGCGTCTGTGGCTTCAGCTTCTTCTGCCGACCCTGCTCCATCCGCTGCTGGAGGTTTTCGAAAGATGACGTTGACGGGTATCTCGTTGAGATCACTGTCGTCCACGTTGTTGCCGGTGGAATGTTTTTGTGGTGCAGCTGCTTGCGGCGAAGTCTGCACGGGAACTGCAACTATTCCCGTATTAAAAACCATCAATGGTGGCGGCTGGCTCTGATTGTAATTGGTGCCCTGCACCACAGGTTTGTTACTCTCCACCACATTGTTGTTTTGCAACTTGCTGTTGTTGTTGTTGTTATTATTGTTTTGGCAGGCCAGCGGCAAGGACTTCTTTTTCTTCAAGCACTCCACCTTCTGCAAATGTTGCGCCAATGTGGTATGATGGAATTTCGATGGCGGCAAGGGCAATCCACCCTTGGGCGACACAGAGATCGGAGCCACCATGGCGGTCACAGCAGCGGTGGCGGGCGGCAGAGTGGGCGACGGTAGTGAGGCGGGCGATGTGGGCGGGCTGACCAGCGCAATGGCAACGGACTGCTGCTGCTGATGCTGCTGGTGCTGCTGTTGCTGCTGCTGCTGATGGAGAAGCTGTTGATGTTGCTGCAAAAGGATCTGCTGTTGATGCTGCGGGAGATGTTGTTGATGCTGCTGCAGGAAGCTGCTGCTGTTGCTGCAAAAGATGCTGTTGCTGCTGCTGCTGTAGATGCTGTTGCTTCTGCTGCTGCTGGACATGTTGCTGCTTCTGTGGTTGCTGCTGCTGCTGCTGTTGCTGCTTCTGTTGCACTTGCGGCTGCGGTTGCTTTTGGCTGTTGTCCAGCAGCAGCGGTGTTTGCCACAGCGACGGAGTGTGGGCGTAGAGCGGGGGGCGGTGCTGCCGGCGGCTGGCAGGACTCCGAGGTGGCAATCTTCTCCTGCTGCTGCGGGCGGACTATACACACATTAGTGGCTCGTTTCGGCGAGGCCTGCGACTGCGATTGGGTGCATTGCAAAGGCAATTGCAACTGCAACGCCGGCGACAATGTGGACTGTCTCTGAGATTGCGTGACATGATGAAAATTCGTTGTGTTTGCGTTCGCCAAAGACGCCAGCGCCTTTGTTCCTGCTGCTGTGACATTCAGTTGGGCCACCAGATTCGCCTTTCTGCTGCCCGCAGCTGTTGCTGCCGTCTGCCTCTTGTTGTTGCCTCTATTGCTGTCGCTTAGGCGGGCTCTCGATTTCTGCAAGAGGTAAACAAAACAATTGGGTAAAGACGGGGTTGATAAAGCATTATTGCATAAATAAAACCCAATATAAAAGGAATTGTACACATACATAAGTGGTTTTAAGTTAAGGAACCTGTTTACATTCAAGTTTGGGTTCTTAAATTAATATCAATTGTTTTTGCAAAAAAAAAAGTTTAAAGTTTGCACAATGGTTAGCATAAATTTTAGGTACTCATAAAAGAGAATTTTTTTAAATGGCCTGATACAATGGTCTGATGGTTTAAGCAAATACATCTCATGGATGAATAGATAAAACCAGATTTTATTATTTAATAGGAAAAAATTAAAAACTAAACAATAAAGAACATATATTTTTTTTACCCCACAAAATTCTTTTAAAAGAAATAACTTGGCACGTGATTCTTACCTGTGCATTGAATAAAATGGGCGGTGGGACGGCCACAGTCTCTGTGAAGGCATAGGGATCCGAGTCCTCGGACGTCGTCTTGGCGGCAATGCTCTCCACTGGCGTCAGCGTTGCTGCGTTTTTTGTTACTGCTGCAGTAGCTAAAGCTGTTGCAGTTGTTGTTGTTGCAGTGGCTGCTGCAGTGATTGTTGCTGTGGCAATCCTCCTGGTGGCTGTGCTTTTGGCAAATGTGGCTGTTGCGGTGGCTGAATGGTGGAATCTGGAGGCTTGCTGACATGACATGTCCAATGTGAAGCCGTTGCCGCTTTTGTTTCCTGTTCTTTTCACTCTTCCTGCTGCCGCTTCTTTTGTTGCTGTTCTTTGTGGTGTTATCTGTTTCTGCTCTCGTTACTTGACCTGCAATTTAAACATAACAATAAAAAAATCGATAAGTTTAAAGTTCAAAGTAAGAACGTCATAAATGGGCGTTGTCACGTGCTCTCTGCCAAAATGCATTTGCACACACACATTCGCTCTCTCCCCGTTGCACACACAAACGCAATGACACACACACATTGTCGTGGCAAACGAATGCCATAATAAAAACAAACTACAATCAAAATAAATAAATCTGCTCGCCGAAACCAGTTCAAGTGAATCGTTCGTTGCTTTCTTTCCGCTTCGCTTCTGCCTCTTCTTTTCCCCTCTTCCTTTCTCCACTCTCCCCTGCTCAACAATATTTTCTGCTTTGGGTGCCGCTTGGCACCGCCGCCGTTAATAACAAATACAAACGCTGATAGCGCAGCAAAATCGCAATAATTAAAAATAATAAACCCAGACAAACAATAGCCCGAGAACACTTGAGGTCAAAATTTTAAGACGTTACTTTCAAGGTTTTTAGTGAAACACAGTGTTTATTTTATGATCTGTCTTACTCACCCAATAAGTTTAAATTTATTTTTCTTTTAGCCAATTTATTTTTAATGGAATAGTTTTTATACATAAATACATTTTATATATTAAAACGTTTTTATTGGCTTTACAAACTTTTACTTTATTGATTTCGGAGTTATTTTTTTGCCCTTAAACGTTTGCTGACCAAGCGTCTCCGAAAAAACTCGCACAAATTTGCATGCCAAGCAAATCAAAGAAGCACGTTTGTGTGCACAAACACATACATTTATGTATGCATGCAGGAAAGACGAGACAAAAACAACTGCGGAATACTATAATCTTATTGAACTTAGCGAAACAGCAATTATTGGGGCAGAGAAAGAAAACAGAGGCGGTGAAAGAAAAATGAGAGAATAAGAGTAACAAGATAAGCGCAAATCGGGGGCGAATTGCTGGACTTTCCAGCGCATAAAAGAAGAAATGGAGAAATGCCTGAAGAATGATTCTGTATAATTACGCACAACACATCAAACCCATATGGAAAGAAAAATATGGAGGGGAATATTATACATTTCCGCTCAGTGTGCCCATTGTTTTTATACGCTTTACAGCTTTTGATTAGTTTCGCACATATTGATTTCCATTCCGCCCGGGAAGGCAAGCAATTCATGATTACAATATGTGTACATATGTAAGCTTGGGAAGAACAAGTTACCCAACTTATAGCTGCCAGTGGAATGCTTCTTTGTTTGTTTATGCTTTCTTTACGTTTTCCGAGAAAGAAGGAAATGACTTTGAAAGCATTTGCCAGTTCCCTTCACCTCACAAATCCCCCCTTTCCACTTTTGCACACCCACTAACGCATTCAACACGACTCCTTGGCTATACATTTACGTGTGAGTGCAGGAGTGTACGTGACACTTTTGTTTATATTTCCTATTTTTACTTATTCATCCGGCGAACGGCGGGGAGGCATTGAAAGATCTTTAAGGTTAAAGCCTAGCGAATATACTCCGAACATAAATCAACAACTTCAGCTGGAGATGTCAAGAAATACACTGCCCATATCTTATCTATAGCTACTCATATAAAAGCAAAGTCGCAAAATGTGGTTACTAATAACATCACGCGAGAATTAAACAAACAAATTGATTGTTTTTCGGGTATTTACTTGGTCCTGATTAAGATTCCGAGGAAATTTACATTTTTTACAAAACGTTTTCTTTCTTTTAACTTGTCATCAAAAACTTTACTTATCAATTCTTTACGAGACTGCATAAACAAACTGTATTTTGATAGAATATATTTTTAAAATATTTTTACAATATTTTCTTTTTGATTTATCATATCGACATTTTACTCAATAACAGCAACTAAAGGTTTTTGATCTCAAGCCCGCAGACGAATGCGAAGTCCAAGATTTTAGCGTACAAACAAAAGAGAGAGGGAGATGGTGGAAACCGCACAAAAGCAAACTGTCGATAATTGCAAATAATGACGATGCTGGGAATTTGTTATTGTCTGCTTTTGTTGTTCTTTCGTGCGATCTCCAAGCAAGTCGCTGGTTTTTGGCCATTTTAGGTCTTAAATGTTAACTCGTTTTTTTCGGTCCAACTTGGAAACACGCTCGAATGATAAGAAGCGAAGACAAGAAACGAGAAAACAAGAAAAGCCAAAGAACGCCGAGACAAAAGAAGTCAAAGTTGCAGAGACAAGCCATCGAACCTGAACAAAAACAAAAAAACAAGACAAGCTGGTAGAAACCTTACAAATCGCCTCTGGTTGCTTGAAAAAACAGAGATCAGTGATCTTTGGAAGCTTAATTCTTAGTGTCTTAACTTTGTATTGAACGAAAAGTGGCTAGGAAACAGAATAATAGATGGCAAACTAATGAATCCATGAACTAAAATGTCTTTCAGAATCGTAATTACTTTTTATTGCGACATTAATGGAACGCTGTACCAAAAAGTTAATGGCATTTCAATTTACTTAGCTTATGAGATTTCATTTTAAAGAAAAGTATTCCTAAAGAAAAATTTCAGTTAACGGAAAATATAAGAGTATATTAAACTGAAATCCCAACAAATGGATATTGATTTTCTTTATTTGGAATCGCCTTGGCACGAGTGTGAACTTTGGTTTTATTGAAAACAATGAAAAGTGCGCAGCACATTAACTTTAAATTTTTAATGGCTCATGGGGACTTTTAATTAAATTAATCGATAATTAAAATAACATTAAAACTATTACGACAAATTAATTATTGTTATTAACAAGGGAACTGCAAAAACACATGAATTCGTAAGAACTTATTTTACTGACGTCGTTTAATGCGTGAATGTATCAGTCTTTTCTCGAATTGGTACATTTTGAAATTAAACAACCAGTTTTACACAGGGAATGATTAAAATAGTATCTGAGTCACTCCTAAATTAAGAGTCATTCGATATAAAGACTTTGAATTCGTCTGGTTTATTGATAGAAATGTTGATTCAAACCGCTCAAAGCAATGGAATAGTAGATCATGTTCATGGATTTTAAGGAGATTCTCTTCTTCTACGTTAACATTAATGGAAAATTTGTAGGCACCTTTCGAGAGATCTGTAAAGAACGAAGAAAACCAGCTAGGAAAACGCACGCTGTGGAACACGAAGGTTGATGGCTCAAAGAACCCTGCTCAAAGGTCTGCTGGCAAAACGAGCCGCGGAGAGATGGATGGCTTGGTTTGGCTAGGTAAGCGACCAGGTAAGCAGATAGCCAAGCAGGCAGGCAGAAAGCCGGTCGTGAGGTTAATTACGAGAGCAAAGCGTTTCCAGGCGTTACGCTCACTGAGCTATGGCAGCTCGAAAACACCAGAACTGGAAAATATACCAGTGCGACTACCAGTTGAATAGTTTTCAACATGCTGGTAGAAAAACACAAGGCATTCATTTGCAACACATTTGTAAATGTAGGCCCATGACGCCTATTTTAAAGGAAACCGAATTGTTTATCTGGGTGTCAGCCTGCAAAGTGAATTAGGTATCTAGTTTAAAATTCTCTACAAAGATTTATTTAAACTTTGGCTTTTTATTAAAACGACATTTGAAATATAATTACGCTAACAAATCTTTTCCATCAAAACATCACGATGAACCAGTTTTATTTTGATATCAAAATGATTAAGACTCAAATTGATAAGATAGTGATTATTCTTAAAGTAAACAAGTAATGTTTAAAAATAGAGATGATTGACTTGAACGGAACACGTTAAGTTACGTTGACGATAAGCGTGAGATATGATTCCTAAATTTCGGCGCTCTTTCATGCTATTTGCAGACTCATCGACATTGACGCACCACAGAAATTGCAATTTAAATGCACATTACAGCGACCACGAGTGCAGGAAAGAGACAGAAAGACCGGGCCCGAACCCGTTTGCTCCTTCCTTCATAACCGGAAACTGAAGGCTAAATTGTGCAAAGCGAAAAAAAGCGCAAACACAGAAAAAAAAGACTATAATATAATGACGACTGGGGGAATGGGAAGGTCGGGGCGGCTGAACCACCGCAAAGGCAGCTGGAGAGGTAAAAGCCAAGAGCCGAAAGCCAGACATGCGGTTCAGTTTATTCATCCAGGCAGCGAAGCCAAACGAACTCCATCTGCAGCTCCACTTGGCCACTTTTACATCGCACGTAGGCCCGTCCACTTCCCACAGAGGAATTGGTACAGTGGAGCTTGACTTGGGGAAACGGAAGCCAGGGAGAGGTGCCAAAAAGTGCTTTACTTGCCATAAAACAGGGAACGTTTATCTCTCTTTTTGTCCGCGAAAAAACTCCCAAACTGGTGAGTCATGATTATTATGGGTTTCACATTCACAGATTTTGTGTCTTACTTTTCTTTGCATTTTCGCGGTTTAAAGCCAATTAACATAAATGTTTTTTTGAACAAAAACAAACTTTCAAATATGAATCACTGCCTTGAATTCTACTTTTGAAATTTTAGAGCATCTTATCTTTATGTTTAGATAAATCAAACATAATTCCGCAAGTCCGACAGTTGTTAAAGGCAACTGCAAAAGGGGTTTTTAACTTACATTCACCATAGGCTCTCTGTATTACTTTTAAATTAAAAAAAAAAAAAGACAATTACAGGCAATAATTGTATAGTGAATATTCTATTAATAAACTACAAATAATAGACATGATAAGTAATACTAAAAAACCAAGGTTTACTATCACTATTTCGTTTTTTAATTAAAGTGTATAAAATTTTCGGTTTATTTCATTGTTGTTGTTAGTGAGCGGCAGCTGTTGTTGGTATATAAAGCACACACATCTGTTTCGTTAAAGCCAAGTTAACGATTGTCTCGGTTTCTCATGGATTTTACTCAACACTTTTGTAGATTTTTGGCAATATAAACACACACATACACCGGCGATGATTAAGAGGGACGGAGAAAGAGTGCCAACCACACATATGTCGCCAATAAACAAATCCACAAAAACTAAACAAAACAAATTACGAATTCCGTGTAAATGAACTTTTGGTAGGGGAGCGCGTTTTGAATTTCTTTCAGAGTTTTGTTTGCCATCCGCTTTGTGGGTGTGTTTGTGAAGGGGAGGGCACTCGAGAATCGCTGTTGCCGGCGTTTTTATGATTTCTCTTGTTTCCCTTCCGTTTCTTTTTTTTCCAGCCAGTCGCCCTCGCCCTTTTTTCAGATTCTCTTTTGCGGCTCTTTCTCTTCCTTCCCCCACAGCCCCCACTCACACTCGTACACACGTACACTTGCGCTTCGAGTTGCACATGCAGGGTCGTTTGAATTTTAAGTGCGGTTAGATTTCTTGCATTTAATCATTTTCGGCTTTAACAGCTTTGTTGCTGATTATACGATTTCTTTGCTTTGGCGATTTTTAATGCAAAACAAGAATGCGTCACGGGCTCACACACACACACAAACACACATGCACAGTGGGGCCGAAACCGAGAGCGACGAGAGCGAGGAAATTTACCCAACCGTCTGATGACGATTCAAACGTCAAAGTGGCGCCGCGCAACGTACTTGGTTTTTGTTGTTTGAGTACCCTTCCCATGGACAGGGTTGTCATCGCACTGGGAACTCGAAAACAAACCAAATAAAGCTACGTATTGGAATGGGAAAATTGTCCGACCTTTTTAAAAAATATAAAATACCGATCCGCACTTTATTAAGCCGTTACCAAGAAATATAGCCTTTAAATAAGGATTTCTAAGCACTGTTGGGCAGGTGCGTCGACAACCCTGGCCCGCCTCTCACACACATACATGCACAGGCACACAATTACGCCAGCACAGACCTGGGAATTTTTAGCTGCAAAAATTTTCCTCGCACCAACTATTCCACTTTGAAATGCAAATTTCACCCTGTTTCTTGGCGCTATGTACTCCTGGCTGTCGACAAGTGGGTATTGCAGCACTTTTTGGTGTTTCAGTTGGGCATAAAACGCGTTTAATGATTAAATTTGTAATTTTTCGGTGCAGTCGGGCTGAGAGAACACGGGCTGACAAGATGGCGGACAGCTCTGTGCGCTCTCTGCACTAATACAGCCACTTGCCCATACACACACAGGGCCTTTCGGAACCAGTACCTGGGTGTGTTTGCTCGCGGTGTTGCCAGATCATGGGAAGAAAATTGTACTGCGCAGGGAATGTACCTATGATAACGGTTATTTGAATCTGATTTAGATGATAAGAATCAGAGAGTTCAGAACTACATATATGATTGTTGTTAAGAATTTTTGTAAGATCAAAAATATTTCTAAATAAATTTTTCTTAATTTTATTCTTCTATTTTCTTTTCTGTTTCTGTTATAAATTTTATTTTAAAATTTATATTAGTACATAAATACAGTTAATAGATTTAAAACAGGCATGCGTGCATGTGCATCAAACAGATGGTTGCGATAACCTGCTGTTTGATGTATGTACATGCACGCTCAATAGGTTTAACCATAAAACCTTATTTCCATAATTGTATTTTATAAAGAACTTAGAATCCGGCATGCAAGGAGTTAAAAAGCTATAAAAGTCACCCTGTTGAACAACTAAGATTGCGTTATCTGCGGATCCGAAAGCGGCTCTCTGGTAATTCACAGGCTGAACTTGGTGTTAGTCTCAGTCGGAGTCGCAGCCTCAACCGTACCGCTGTTCGTCCGAAGTATCAGCGGCAGTGTCGTATCGTACGTATCGTATCGTATCGTATCTGATCGATCCGGTCCGGCATGGGAAGTTTTCCAGCTCTACTTGTTGTTGTCGGCTCGCTGGCATTGGGTGCGAGTGGTGAGTGTTCGGATCACAGAATCGTAAACAAGTCTGGCAGTGAACTTAACGCAGTCGATCTCCTCCAGCTCAACTCACCCTCAACTGTGTGTCGGACATCCCGAGTGGCCGTGTGACCGGTCACTGCATTTCCATCCGGAATTGTGACTATTTTATGAAGATTTTGGCCTCTTCGAATCTCAGCCAGAGCGATCGCATCCTTCTGCGGCGAAATCAGTGCGGTGGAAGTGGCGTGGACGTCCAGGTGAGTGATTCACCGAAACGATTCCTGTTTAATTAAGAAATTTTATTACTTCAAGCAAGAGGCGAAACCGTTAAAAGCTTGATTTTATAGCCCTTACAAAATTTCGAAAGTTATATTTTTATCATATTAAAAAATAACCAATTTGTATAAACTTGATCATGGCCATTAATACTTTCAGATTAATACTTTCACTGATTCAGCTTGATCTTCATTTTTTTATTCTGATAATCACTTTAAAACTTACGATGACAAGAGCAAAATTGACTTTTAGTTTTTTAATGAGTCTGATTAGGACATTTTCTTATCTCTACTAAATTTAAGTTAAGTCTTTTAAATGTACCCGCAGGTGTGTTGCCCCAGTACCGCCGGTTTGGCGGCCTTGACCCACCCACTTCTGCCCAAAGATTGCGGCTCGGTTCGATGGCAGCGTTCCAATGACACGGAAACGGAGACGCGGGTCAGGGAGTTTCCCTGGCTGGCGCTTATCGAGTACACCCGGGGTGAGTTTGGGGTTTTTGGCGCTATCAATTCCTCTGACTCCTTCTCCCCTTTGCAGATAACCAGGAGAAGATCCACGCATGTGGGGGAGTGCTTATCAGCGATCGCTATGTGCTGACTGCTGCTCATTGTTTGGCTCAGGCGGCGACCAGCAATCTCAAGATTACGGCGGTTCGCTTGGGAGAATGGGACACGAGCACCAATCCGGATTGTCAGTTCCATCAGGACACGAAAGTAACGGATTGTGCACCACCCTATCAGGATTTAGCCGTCGAGGAGCTGCTGCCACATCCGCAGTACACGCGAACCGATAGCTCCCAGATTAACGACATTGCCCTCATTCGTTTGGCAACTCCTGCCACATTCAACGACTTTGTGCTGCCCATTTGTTTGCCCAACAAACAGCTGCGGGCCGACGAACTGGAGGGTCTGGTCACCGAAGTCGCCGGTTGGCAGGCCACATCCTCGTCGCGCATGCGCAAAAGCCTGGTGACCATTAACTCCCTGGAGGAGTGCCAACGGAAGTACGCCGGTCAGCAGTTGAACATTCAAGTCACCCAGCTCTGCGGGTTGACCACGACCAAGGAGTGCCACGGCAATGCTGGCGGACCACTAATGCTGTTCAAGAACGGGGGCTATCTGCTGGGCGGATTGATGTCCTTCGGACCTGTTCCCTGTCCAAATCCCGACTGGCCAGATGTCTACACAAGGGTTGCCGCATTTACTGATTGGATTCACGACAGTTTAAGGGCATAGCCTTATAAGCTTAATGGTCAGTAATGTCAATAAATGCTTGGTGCCAAATATTAAGAAAGTTTATTTTACAAAACAATGGTAAATTTAAAATTTACCGCCCATTCAGCTTTAGTGTGGTTGTAAATCTGGGGTCTGGGCAGGCGTTTAGAGAACACATGGTGTAATTCAACACGCAACACCTGGTTACTCTACTTCAGAGCCTTAGTCGCTCAGAATATATTTCGCGAGCTTATCAATTCGCACGAAAATCGGAGCGCTCCCTTAAAGTGTTAATTAAGAGCTGGGAAATCTACTAATTGTGAAGGCGAAATGGCAGAAGCTGTAAAAAAAGGTAAAAATCGGCACTCGGGGAGCGCTGAAAATGGCAAGCGGACAAATGGCGACTGTCCTATTGGATTGTTTTTTTTTCTTCTTTGCCTCTGCATTCGGCAGAGTTGCATTTCCGAGTTCTTGGCGGTTTCACTTTGAATTTCTTCGTACTTTTTTTCGCCTGCAGAAATTGGTGCCGGTCGTCCTCTGGATGGTGGAGGGGGTGGCAGCGGAGGAGGCGGTGGGGGCGGCGGAACGGGAATGCCCAAAAGAAAGCATCGCCGTGGCAAAAAGTCAAAGATGATGCCCAAGAAGTCCAAGAACCACTATCCACAGTGGAAACTCGATATGCCAACGGGTGCGGGAGCAACGCTCGAGGGTAATACTCGCCAGAATAGTCGCACCAAGTTGGTCCGCTCTCGATCTTTGCTCGTTCCATACAACACCAACCGCTTCCTGATGGAAGAGCACATGTCCGAGGTGCCCAAGGACGACTCTGACGACAATTGTTTCGGGTCGCAGACTGAGGACCAGGTGCTATTTCTCTCCAAGGAGTTCTCCAACGTCTACGAACGGGCGCGTCTTGAGCGCCTGGAGACTATGAGTAAGCAGGAGCTCATCCAGGAATGCCTGCAGATCGAGGATCGCTATTCCAAGGCCCAGAACGTCTCGAAGGAGTTTAGCGCCAAGCTACGGGCGCAGGAAGAGAAGATGCGACAGCTTACCAGGGAGAACCAATGTGAGTGGAGTTTAACAATTTAATGAAATTATTTGCACATAAATATTGGTAATTTATTTATTTTTAAAACCGTTTTTTTCTCTTCCCAGTTTTACGTTCTCACTTCCTGCGTTCGTGTCCGACGACAGCTGGACCTGCGGCAGCTGCAGCGGCTGCCGCATCTCCACCATCGGCGGTGGCACCCACACCCAGCTCCGCCTGTGAGCTGCAGGCCAGACAACAGCCGCCGCAGCAGCCCCAGCCCACACCGATGGACTCCTCCAGCGAGGACAGCGAAAGCGACAGCAGCAGCACTACGTCGAGCACCACTTCCAGCACATCCTCGAGCAGCAGCGATGGTCACGAGATGGGCGTGGCCGGTCTGAACATTGCCAACGGACATGCCGAGCGCCACGAGCGGAGCCGTACCCGCTCCAGGTCAAGATCGCCTATCCACCTAAACGGTCATGCCGACGAGGAGGAACGCCAGCGCCTGCTGGACGGCAATCAAATGGACGAAGATGAAAACTCCAGCGATGTCCCAAAGCCAGGCGATTCTGCGGTCAAATAAGCTGGACGTTGTCACCCTTTCCTGTGTAAATAGAAGACTCAATTGTGGTAGACTGCGGCGACATATGGACAAAAACCCTGCTTAGTTTTTAAGTAATCTCTGCGCGCCTCAGCCGTGGGGATTTCATTTTTAATCATCATCATCCAGCAAAAACATTAGATTTATTCTGTTATCTGCAAACGATGCCTACCGCATGTAAAATATTTCAAGATGTTGCCTCGACGCGTTAATGATTTTAATGGATTTTTTATAATGAAAACTCGATTTGTAGGTTAATAAAAAGTTGAATCGTGAATTCAAGAAAATTTGGTTTTATTTTCTTTGATAAATCTGAGAAATATTTTTAATAATATTAAATATTAATATAAATGTAAATAATTAAATTAAAATTCAAGAAAATATAGCTTCCTTTCCTGTTAAAATTTATTTTCTTCATATTCTTTGTTTTAACATCAGATAAATTAATTTTTTAAATCTACTCTAAACAAGGTTTAAATTCGTAAGAAACATAATTATTTTAAAATAGGATCAGTACTTTGGCTTGAACTGCTTTCCGAATGCTTTTCAGCTATGTGCTTTACCAAGGAACAGTATTCGGTGGCATAAAGCGTCCTGGAAATGCCTGCGTAACCCACACCCACCAGATTCTGCTCCGCCAATGTGGCTTGTGGTCGTTGATTTATACGCTTGGGTCCCCGAACTGGCATCCAGCCGCTGACAGGGGAACTATTCGCCAGCATAACTCCTCTAATAGCGATGTTAAGACCCATTACGGACAAAGCATCATCTCGGTATTCATTGAGCATGGAATCTGACAGACCCAAGTCATCAATGGCGGAAACGACCTCCTCTATGTCGTTGAAATGTGGCAGATAATTGGAATGTATAAAGTTTACAAAATTCCTTGGTTCTGTGTTAAAGGCTTCGGTTAATTCCTCGGGGCTGTGCAGCATGCGTTTGTCCTCGTTATCTAAAAAATAAAATAAATATTAAGGAGTGTACGCAGAGGCAGTTTCAAATAATTTACACTTAGGATTCAGAACCCTTCCCAATGCGTGCATCAGAGTAATAGATTCATCTCGGCCAATGGACTTTAATGTGCTTTGCATCTTCTTTTTGCGTCCTTTTGTGGATACGCTAGTATTTAGCTGCTTAATCGGCATGCTGGCAACTCCCTTTAAGGAGCTGAGATGCAGATTAATCAATGCATTTCTTATGTCACCCTGGGCGCTCACGACTATTGAGTCAACAACAGCGGTTGAGGGCACCTTGTACGTAGCCTTATTTTGAGGTTGCTGCATAACAGAACAAAAGGCTTTCATTGACTTCTGCATGATTGTGGATGCAATAGAGTTAAAGCTTATGTGTTCGATACGGTATTTAGCCTTCACTTCATCCGGAAAAAGACGGTAGCTCATGTTTAAGTCTCGACTTTTGGCATCGGCTACAATGAACACCAAGGGCGATTTGCCATAGTTGGAGTACTCTCTGCAAAGATACAAGTTTGTGTTAGAATAGGACTAACTGTCATCATTATTTATTTAGGCTACCTACTCTAGCAGTTCCTCAAAATTGATCGTCTTATCTCTAAGGAGGATGTTCGGAACATCCTCGACAAGAAGCAGTCTCTTGTTGCTTGACTCAAGCAGGGATTTGTAACGCGAGGCACGAAGCAGGAAGCTCTTGAAAGCATCCAGGTGGGAACCCACATAGGAAGATTCAACCTCTTGATCGCCCAGTGCGTTGACCACCTCACAGTCGACGGGATTTATCCATTCCTGCACCTGGAAGCCGAACTCCTTGGCCAGGACGCGCAGCGTGGCGGTTTTTCCGGCACCAGTAGGTCCGGTGAGCAGGCACATTTGGGCAGGAAACTTCTTTCGCATTGCCTCACAGTGACGCAGCCAATTACGGAGTTCTTCGATCTTTTTGGGATGCACGGCTAATGCTTCGCTACAAGCAGGTGCAAAGCTGTCCATCCAGTTTTCTTTGACTTCCGGTGGCGACGCATTGTGGTCTTCATTTTGATCATCATCTATGGCAGTGAGATCTACTGATTCCACGTCCGGAATTTTAGTCGGTGTGGATTTAAGGCTTTGAGACCTCGATATTCTGGTTGTCACATTGCTAGCACTTCTTGTTCGCTTGGCTGGAGTGGCTTCCGAAGGAACCGGACTGGAGGTCAGGTTCATTTCGCTAAAAGCGCATCTCACCCAGGTTTTCTAAGCAAATAATATCTTATTATTTCCCTTTTAAAGCTAAAAATTCAAATTGTTTACCTTTCGTGCGCTCATTTTTACATTTTTAGTTTCTTCTTCTTTATAGTGTTACCGAGCGGAAGAAAAATAAAATGCTGAAAAAATGGTATTTTTAAGTGGGCGTTAAATTCAAAGAAAACGTAATTGATTTGATCGTCAACTACTACATTTATTAAGGTTTTTATTCTGATTTCTTTATATTTTTTTTAATGAGAATAACGACACCATGAACAAAATAAAAATATTTTTCTAGTTATTAAACTTTTATACAAGTCTTTCTTTGTAAGCTTCTGAGTCGGTAATAAATCTAAAGTTATTAAAGCCAAATCAAAAATAAAAATAAACATACATACATATATAAATTAACATAAATAAACACATAAAATATAATATTTTAAAAATTGTTTAGATCTTGAATTGTCTTTCTAGGTATGCAAATTCCTGCTATTGGACTATGGTGCGGAAATATTTCGCTGTGTTTTATTTGTGGATTCTTTTCGTGGGGTCGCTCTGTATGAACTGGACGCCCTCGGAAAGAGTTAGAGGATTTGTGGTGGCATGCAGCAGTGGGGCCGTTATGACCAGGTTTCGTCCTTGTGTTTCCCCATTTTTGTTGAGTAACTCAGTGTTGTTGTTAGTGGAGGAGAAAGAAGAGGGGAGAAATAATCTTGGGCTCCTGGGAACAGAAAGTGGCTGGTTGTGAATCTGATGCACTGCATCAGGATTGGCATGCATGTCAGTATTGGTGGCCGAAGCAGTGTTAAATACAACAACAGGTGGCTGAGTTGGAGGTGGTGGTGCAGTTCGTGCAGGGTTCTTTGCGGTGGTGCTGCTGCTGGCGAGGATGTTGCTCCCTTTCATGCCGATGCTGAAGGAGGAGGTCGATACATACATATTTTGGGAAAGCTTTCCGCGGGTCAACATTCCCTTCTTGTAGCACAGACACAGGCAACAGAATCCGATCATGGCGAGCAGCAGGAAGAAAAGCACCACACACAGGATTATCGTGAGTCCTAGAGATTCTGTAAAAAAAGGATTCGAAGTTAAAAAGTTAGTTAAAAATATACAGAGAAAGATTTTGATTTGATTTTTTCTCTCCTTGAACTACTACTAATCTTACCATTAGGATCCATAACTGGTCCACTGTCCGGTGATCCTCCTGATCCCGCCTTGGAGCAGGACTCCCCGCCAAAACCCACATCGCAGTGGCAGTGACCACGACTGTTGCAAATGCCATTGCCACTGCAGTCGTCCGGACAGGGAGTTCCTATGCCCTGCTGGCGTATCTCAGCCACCTCCAAGCATCGCTGATGCACGCACATCTTGTTTTCACCGCACTTGGCTCCATTGGGCGTCAGGCCAGGATCGATCGTCTGCAGACCCAGATCCACCAAGGAAGGTCGGCAGCGGACTGTCTTGCGTTGGTGGATAATGTAGTAATCCGATAGAACGGCTGCCGACTCCACTCCGAATTGGAGGCGATCGTTCAAGTGGTCGCAGTGCAGCATGCCGCACTTGACATCCTGCTCTTCGCAAGGCAAGTAGGTATTGCTAAGGCGGTTATAACCGCAGTTGCCCAGGCGAGTCCCTTCCGTGTTATTGTTGTAGCAATGTTCGGAGTTTTGGCCCGTTGGGCCCCATAAAGTGCGACACTGTGAGGAGTGGGAGCGACAGGTTCCTTGGAAGCAGTAGGCTTTCCCGCCGTCACAGGGCTCCGTGTCCCGCCGGAAGACGTCCGCCGGACAGTACTCCGATTCCCCCGTGCAGTACTCCGGCAGGTCGCACTCGTTCTCCTCCTCCCGACAGGCACTGCCCGCCAATTTGGGACGACAGGTGGTCAGATCGCAGCACTCCCCGGTGGCACAGGAGGCGTTGGCGTGGAGCATGCAGGTCTTGGCGTTGCAGCAGGCATTCTCGCAGTGCTCCGGCAATCCGCAGTCGCACTGCTCCCCGGGCTCCACGAATCCGTTGCCACAGGTGGGCGACTCTAACAATCTTTCTGGCTTGTTCCGCAGGCAATAGTCCAATCCTTGTGAGAAAGATATCGTGAGCTGATTGATGCTGCATCTGCTCCAGTTGACCGGGATAAACGAGGTACTCGAGGCACCCATTATACACTGTTTATCCGGACAATCGCAGTTAGGCGAATCATGCGTCATGCCAAAGTTGTGCCCCATTTCGTGGGCCATTGTGGTGGCCACCACCGCCGGATTGGCGCTCTTCTGCACGCTTAGTCCGGCGGAACTTTCGTACGTACAGAAAGAGCCAATCCGCCCCTTCCCGACAACGCCTCCGTCGAAGGTTTCCATGGTCAGCAGGTGGGCGTTGTCATTGGGGTGCTGCACCATCAGCTTCTTCCTCCGGTAGCTCAGAAAGTTTTCCAGAGTAGCATCGCTGTCTTTGGAGAAAGTAATTTCGTTTGACTCGTTCCAGATCACAACGCCCACCAGTGCCACAAATATATTCAGCGGCACATAGAGCTAAGATTAAGATGATGAAGTGAAGATTAGAAAAATAAACTAGTGCTTTTAATAAAGGTTAATTACTCACCGAATTGATAATGTTGGCCAGCGTCTTGCAGTGCTGATGAACCTTCCTGGCATTCTCCTGAAAGTTCTTGTACACCTTGTTGTCCACGACGATGACCAATTCCACGTAGCTGGAGTGCTTATTGGCATTGTAGGGTCCTCGGATCAGTTGACTGCTGTCGTCGGCCTGTCGCCTACTTCGGAGCAGGGTTCGCTGGAATTCTCCGCCATCGAGGGGGAGTGGCAGTGCAGGAATCTCCGCTCCCAGTTCGTTATCCTCGTGGTCATGGCTGTGATCGTCCTTGTGGCTATCGTAGCCACAGGTGGCGTTCGTGGGATGCATGTCCGCCTGTTTGAGCAGATAGTGGTCGTCCTCCAGACGTCCACTTCCATGGATATGGGGATGGATGAAGTATGTTTGCCTCCCATCGAAAACGAGGCCGTTAAGAGCACCTTCGCAGGTGGACAGCGCAACCATAGAATTCGGTCGACCACGAATGTGTCCCTGGAGGGGTATACATACTCCTAAGTTTTATGAAGTGACTTTAAGGATGTTCCGAATTCACCTGATAGTGGCATAAATCAACCTCAGTCTTGGTGAAGTGGCGCACCACATGGCCAGCGGTTTCTGCTCCGCTGGAGGAGTTCTGGGTCCGCAGGAAGTGGTTGTCGGGCAGCAGGCGATCGTTTCGCTGCAGGTCGATGGTGATTCGTTGGCCCTCGTGGGTGTAGCTCAGGCTAATGTGCGGCGCGTGAAGGCCGTTCTGCAAAAAGTAGCAAGGCAGTTTACATTATTTTTACACGCAAAATTTTGGGCGTGACAATAAGTCGAGGTGCGAATGCGTAATGTCCTTCCTACCCACCACAGGATTTAACTTAAATATCACTCCCCTTTTATCTACATGTGGAAACTAATTAAAACGGGTTTGGCTTTTTGTAAACGCACCCACTAAATTCCACCCACTTTTGTTTCAACATGAATTTTGAGAAAATTTATGTGTTCCAGAGGGACATAAATTTTGATTATCGCTATGGAATGGTAAATTCTAGACAATGTTTAAATGTTTACTAAATTTCAACTTTTCCTTGGCTACTTACGGTGGCATCCAGAGTGGTGAGCAGGCTGCGCTTGGTGCGTCCATGTTGCACCTGCGGTCGTATCACAGTATGAATTTTAAACTCGTCGAGGATTTGTAAATAATCGGCGGAGTTTGCTGCAATAGAAGATAAGGGAAAAAAATTGTTATGCCTTGCATAACTTTTACAGATCGTTTCTAAGTCGCTAAATTTTTGTTCTGGAAGTAATCCAACGTCTTAAACTGGTGGCTTATCTAATTTCCGCATGCCTTTTGGTGCTAAGCGCTTAAATTGTTGTGTATTATGCTCAAAATAAAAATGTATTTGGAAAAATGTAATTTGAGTAATAAAAATTTTTGCAAATGCGTTGACTAATTTGGGTTTATTTCGCATTCTAATCTTTGACTATTATAATGTATTAACATATATTGCATGTTTTAATGAATAATTCCAATCTAGCAAAGAATTTTTAAATTAAATGCTATCCCATCTTTACAAAAATCCCCGTCAATATTATTCAGATATTGGTAAAAAAAGCCAACATTTGATTTTTTCTGATAACTTTGCCTGCAGACTTACCTTTTGGCTTTTCTTCTGGCTGATGAAACGTTATCGCTTCCGCTGGCTGGAAAATGTGTTGCAAGCATGTGTTGAGCAGTGGCAACGCCAGCAAAAACAAATTTAAATGTAACATATTTAAATCATGAAAATATTGTTGTTATTCCATAAGCTTTATGATGTTATAGTATTAAGCGATTATCATATAACAACATTAAACTGCCTCAGGGTCAAAGTAATGTCATAACACGTCCTTTAGATTAAATTTTGTTTTGCTTTTTGGTGGCGGCACTACCGGTACGACTTGAAATAATTATGAGCTGGTTTATCAAAGTTTTAAGGCACCATATAAAGTATAAATATAATTTAATATTAATAAATTTAATAAACACCCGAGCAGATATTGCTGCTGTAAATTTATCGGCTTTTATGTCGTAGAGTAAGAACCATTTAGAACCTCTGCTCAACGTTTGCCGAAAGTTGTGTTTAAGTCAAAATTTGTTTTTCACCATATTCAACACGTCAACTGTGGTGAAAGATGACGCAAAAAACAAAAAAAGCTGCAGATATGAAAACTGGGTATTTCACCATGGTATAAATTGCGAATATGTTTATCTAAAATAAAATTTAAAAACCTAATTTTTTGGCTGGTGTGTAATTACTCAAAAAGTTAATATTTTTTGCTTTAGCCGTTTTTTATTTTTTGCAGTGTGTGACTAGGTGGTAGCCATCGATGTCCACTCTTAGTTATTAACTAAAATAGGGCTGCTTGTAATATAAGTTTAGTAAAGTTTAAAAACTAAATAATGTCACATATGTTCAGTATGCACTGTACCTTCTACATTCGTTTTTACCGTTCATTATAAAACCGTTTCTTTTTGCACTTTACCATTTCATTTATCTTAGTTTCTAAGACCGACGGCCTCGTTTTAATTGGTGTTGTTCCTTGTCTTGAAATTGTATAACTTATTATTTTTGTTAAATTTTGTTAATATTTGCCATGAAATTGAAAATAGTTGATCATAACGACAGCTCGGACGATGAGGGCGAGGAGGAGATGCAATACGATAACGATGAATCTGAGCAATCCAATGTGGGCGAAGAAGATGAGGAATTAGAAGAAGAAGAGGAGGAGCACCCAGAAGAAGAAGAGCCAGATGCGGATAATCAAGGGGCAGCTCGTGTTCCTTATCCCACTCCGCCGCCCGATGACGGATCAAAAATGGGGCCACCTGACTCCGGTAAAGGCGACTTGAAACCCAAGTCCGAGTCGAAGGGATCCCTGATATCCCTAGCACTCATGGCCATTGGAGAGCTGAAGAGCCGGTCGGGCTCTTCGGTCCGGGCCATCATGGCATATCTGAAGGACAAAGGCCACGAGTGGAAGTTTCCCAAGAAAACCGCACGCCTGATGCATCGAGCCCTCAAATTGGCCGAGACCAATGGCGAGGTGGAGATGACTAAGCGTTCCTTCAAGCTCACCAAAAAGTATAAGGACTCCTCCAAGGCTGTGGAAAAAATGAAGGCTAAGCAGTTGAAGGAGAAGGCCAAGAAGAAAAAAGGAAGAGCAAGTTCTGAAGGAAAAGTCAGAAAAAAAGGAGAAAAAAGAAAAGGAAAAGAGTAAACTCAAAGCGAAAAAGGAAAAGCCTAGTAAACCAACAGAGAGGAAAACGAAACAAGTAAGTTTGTCAGTGAAATAGAAAATAATATTAATAAGTATACTATTCAAATATATTATTTGGTTTACAGGCCGGCAAAAGAAGAAAGGCGAGGATGAACATAAGGATTCCGAACTCTTGAACAAGACGGCCGCAGCGGCTGCAGCAGGAGCTTTGCTAGAAACTCCCAAGTCCGTGGGTTCGAAAAAGGCAAAGAAGCCAGCGAAACCAAACGATAAAAGCAAGGCAGCGACATCGAAAGTAGGATCATCCTCCAAAAAGCCTCGCAAGTCCATCGGAACTCTGGCACAGCCCACGATGGCTAAGCCGAAAGTCAAGGCGGTCAAAAAACTGGTGGCTGGCAAGGGGATTACCCACTTTCCGGATATTTCCTCGACCGATATTTCGGCGGCCCAGGCCACGTCCACTCCTCAAGGACCAACTAGGGAGAAGCGCAAGCGCAAGGTCTAATCATATTTTTCATTTTTGTTGTACTAAAACTATATATTTTAGTCGTCATCCATTGTTCATCCCAATTTAGTAAAATGTTTTTTAATTTAGTTAAACATATATTTTAACATAACTTCGGTTCTATACACATTTGATATCGTTCTTACACTTGGGGTATAACATAATTGCTTGCAACACTGAGACAATTCAAATTGATTTCGCTACTGAAACAGCTTCTCTAATTAGTTTTAAATAACCCCAGATTTACAACACATTTAATCGTTTACATCGAGGCGGCGCATTTGTTGTGACAATTGAACTTCTTTGGTTTTTATTTACAAAAGCATATTGCGTATAGACATATTCATAAATACATGGGATCTCCGCAGAGTATAGATACAGATACAAGTACGCTATCGTTAAGGGCTAAATTAAAACTTCACATGTCGCGCTTAAACATTAACCATTGAGATACTTACTTAGCACATGAGTTAAGCAACGCCTTACGTCTAACTAGTGGGACACCGGTAAAGGAATGAATATCAAAGACGACGCAGTCAAAGTCATAGTCAGTGCCAAATAAAATTTGATCGAATCTTAACTAAAACTTAAGTCAATTCCACGCAAGGTGGGCACTGAGCCAGACCAAGAGCATAGCCAAGAATCACAATCGATGGCAGAGAATACAATTTATGCATCGTAAGGTTTTCGAATCTAAAACTTTTTCAAATTTAATACAAAGTGATTCCCCAAAATACTAAATGTAAAATGTTTTAAATAACACCATGATTCGCTTAATGATTGAAAAAAAGATTGAGCTTGAGAATACAATGTATGATCTTCAAATCTAAAACTTTTTTCAAATTTAATACAAAGTGATTCCCTAAACTACTAAATGTAAAATATTTTAAATAATACCATGATTCGCTTAATGATTGAAAACATAAAGATAGAGCTGCACTTTTGTCTTATCTCGTAAAATAAATTTGAACCCTAATAAATTATAAAGGGGTGACAATCAGCTTTTCAGATGCAACCTACAACCTCTCATATTGTCTTCCTAATAAATATTTCTCGCTATGCTCAGGGTCAAGCTCCTTATCGTAGTGTTCCTTAGTCTACTTGCTCTGCTCGAATCGCTGTGTCAGCGATGCAATATTGGACTTTGGCGTCGCCAACGCCGTTGCCTTCACAGTGGGTGGCGTGGGCGCTGCTCCTCCGCCGTTGATCCGCTTGCCCAGGACTCCGCCGGCAGCTGCTCCTGTGCCGCTAAACGATGGCTTGGCCGAGAGCGGCTTGGGCTTTTGAATGGTGGCCGAGGGCGCCGTGACCGCCGCTCCCGCCGTCCCATTTGGCAGTGCTTTCGTTGTGCTCTTCATAAAGGATTTGGGACGGGTGCTGTTCGCTGTTCCGCTGCTGAGGCTGCCGTTGCTGCTCCGCTTGGCCAGCTGGACAACTGGCGCCGGCTGGCCCTGACCACCGCCGGTTCCTGCCGACGGCTTGAAGCTGGACATGTTGGGCTGCGACTGCATCTGCGTTTGCGATTTGTCCGCAACCGTGGGTTTAACGCGAGCCACTGGCGCATTTGCTGGCGGCGGGCGGTAATATGTGCTTGCCGATGCATTGGCCGCCTTCTCCTCCAGCACACTGCTCGCCGGCTTGGGCGGAGCAGGTCGCTGGGGGCTCTTGGGAGGATCTGCTGGCGGTGCAGGTGTAGCTACTGCTGCCGCTGCTACGGGCTTTCCCGAATAAATGGAATCCCCGTTGATCTTCTCCAGCTCATTCACTATTTCATTCAGCAATCCCATATCGCTGCCACTGCTCGCCCTGTTGGCCACCAAATCGCTGCGCTTGAGAGTCTGTGCCGCCGGCGGAATCTCATCGATCACGGAGTAGATGTCATCGTTGGAGGCCCGAACTTCGTTCTCGTTCTCCACGAACTCACAGTCGTCGTAGGTGTTCTCCACCGATCTCTGGGCCGTGGCCACTGGCCGCTGATAACCCGAGGAGCTAATCGAGTTCGTTTTCTTCACCACCACGGGTGGAGGTCTTGGTGGCGGCGACTTGGGTCTCGAAGTGGCGCTGCCGTTGACATGACCACTTTTGGGACGCGGCAAACCGGGAGGTGAACGCATGGAACCGAAACTCTGCAGCGGCGTCTTTTTCGTGGGCGAACGCATCGATTGGGCGCGTTTCACCAGGTTCTGGGTCTCCTCTTCGCGGGGCGTCGTCTCCGAATCCGAGTTGGAGGACTCCGTTTGCGGAGCAGCGGGCACAGGCATCGGAGCTGAGATTTCCAGCGTTCGCAGCCGCTCCCTATCGATGTAGGTCTTCTCCTTCAGCGGCGGCTTCTCCTCCTTCTTGAGGAACGAGGCGAAACGCCTGATGGTTCCATCTCGTTTGACATTCAGCTTGGGATCCGCGTGCAGCGGAACCGGAGGAGCTGGAGCGGATCGCGTGGGCGAAAGATCCTCCGTGCTGCCCTTGAGCGGCACCATGGTTAATGTACTGGAATCCAGTTTGGGTGGCGAGATAATGGGACGCGCCGTGGAGCCAGGATTTTTTGGCGGCAAAGCGGGCGCTGGTCTCACATAAGTGGCTTCTGGTTTCGGAGAGGAGGGAGGATGAACGGGTTCGGTGAGTGACTTTACCACTGGAGGTGGCGGTGCCATCCTCTGTGGTCCATCCTGCTGCACCGTTGGCTGCACAAAGGCCACATTTGGTGCATTATAATTGCTCGATGGCGAAGTGGCATCGTTCAAAGGACGCAGTGTGAAACCATCGAATTTGCCAAATAATCCTGCTGTCGGTGTGGAATCGCTCGGAGATTTCAGCAGCGCCGAATCCATATCATCCGTACTGCTCGGAGTGGATTTCAGTAGTCCATTTCCCGTTGGTGGTCCACTGCCATTTTGATTGGTTCGATTGGTGATCGGTTTGCTTCCTCCAGAGGATTTCAGACTGCAAGGATATCGAATTGTAAAGATTAATATAAGGAAAATCAGTGAAGAGAATATAACTTTTGTGTATTTGTGTAACATACCAAAAGGAGAAACGTGCATAAACCAAACACCATTGCTAGGATTGAAAACATATAGTATATAGCAAGACAAACATAAAGCCAACACCAAAAATGAAAAGCAAAAATTTATTGCAGAACTCACACAATCAAGTCAACTAAAACTAGTAACAAACAGAAATTAAAGCAGTGTAAGTAGTTGTTTGGGTTAATGGATTTGGATTTGGATTATATGGCATAAAGGCAAACGTGCAAAAGGGAAGCGTGTTAAAATGAACGGAAAGTTGTCTTCGGTAATCCGAATTTGCAAAATATCTCTGCAGATTTTATTTGAATATTCTAAATATATATTGTATCCTTTGCTTTAAAAATTCTATAAACTTTCTTTTGAAGCTTACAAATTTAAATTCCCTAAAAACAATAGGTACATATTTACTAAAGTGTATAAACTTTTGTAAGCCACAATTAATTGTTTATATTTATCTTATAAATTTGTTCAGTTCTTGGGTTATCTTTCGTATTCATAAGCAAGTCTGCAAGGATACTCAAACGCCGTTGGCCAAGCGCAAGGACATGCAGTATGCATATTCGTTGGCAGTGCAGGCATAGTTCACTGTGGCTAATTGGTGTCTTTGTTTTTGGCACACCTCGCGGGGTCGCTCTGTATGAACTGGGCGCCCTCGGTGAGTGCCAGTGGATTTGTGGTGGCATGCAGCCGTGGCGCTGTGATGTCCAGCTTGCGTCTCAGTGTGCTGTTGTTAGTGTTTCTCTGCTCGTTGTTGTTGTTGTTGTTGAGTAACTCAGTGTTGTTGTTGTTAGTAGGGGAGGACGAAGAGGAGGATGGGGAGCAGGAGGACGAGGTGACGGCGCCGGAAGGAGGCCTCTTGCGCCGCACCTCGTAGCTGCTCTGACTTTTGGGCACAGAGGGCGGCTGGATGTGCACCTGGTGCACTGCATCCGGATTGGACTTGTGGCGCGGCAGGATGGCGTGTATGTTAGTAATGGTGGCCGGAGCCGTGTTAGATACAACAGTACAACCAGGTGGTGGGTGGTTTTGGTGACTATAGTAGTGTGGTGGCGGTAGTGGTGGTGCAATGCGTGCAGAGGTCTTTGTGGGTGCTAGTTGGGTGGTGATGCTGCTGTCGGGGCTGCTGCTCCCTTTCGAGCCGCTGCTGAAGGAGGAGGTCGATACATACATATTGTCCGCCAGCTTTCCGCGGCTGAATACTCCGTTCTTGTAGCAATGGTAGAGCAGCCAAACTCCGCCCACCACGGGCAAAACGAAGAAGAAGAGCACGTACAGGAATCGCTTCAGTCCCACAGATCCTGAATGGAGGAAATAAAACATTAATAACAATGATTCGAAGGTGTGAAAATGCATAATTTGTTTTGATAGCTCACCATTTGGATCCGTGGCAGGTCCACTGTCGGGGGATCCTCCTGATCCCGCCTTGGAGCAGGACTCCCCGCCAAATCCGACATCGCAGTGGCAGTGACCACGACTGTTGCAGATGCCATTGCCACTGCAGTCGTCCGGACAGGGAACACCCAAGCCCTTCTGGCGAACCTCGGCCACCGCCAGGCATCGCTGGTCCACGCACATCTTGTCCTCGCCGCACTTGGCTCCATTGGGCGTCAGTCCCGGATCAGTGGTCTGCAATCCCAGATCCACCAGGGCAGTGCGACAGGGAACTATCTTGCGCTGATGGGTGACGTAGTAGTGCGACAACACGGCCGCCGATTCCATGCCGAATTCAAGGCGTTCGTTCAGGTGGATGCAGTGCAGCATGCCGCAGTTGACATGCTGCTCCTCGCAACGCAAGTAGGTCTTGTTCAGGCGGTTATAGCCGCAGTTACCTAATCGACTTCCTTCCGTATTCCTACTGTAGCAGTGCTCCGAGTTATCACCCGTTGGTCCCCAAAGAGTGCGGCATTGAGTGGAGTGGGAGCGACAGGTTCCGTGGAAGCAGTAGGCCTGACCGCCGTCACAGGGCTCCGTGTCCCGCCGGAAGACATCCGCCGGACAGTACTCCGATTCCCCTGTGCAGTACTCCGGGAGGTCGCACTCGTTCTCCTCCTCCCGACAGGCACTGCCCGCCATTTTGGGACGACAGGTGGTCAGATCGCAGCACTCTCCGGTGGCACAGGAGGCGTTGGCGTGGAGCATGCAGGTCTTGGCGTTGCAGCAGGCATTCTCGCAGTGCTCCGGCAATCCGCAGTCGCACTGCTCCCCGGGCTCCACGAATCCGTTGCCACAGGTGGGGGAATCGAACAACTTTTCCGGCTTGTTCCTCAGGCAGTAGTTCATTCCGCGCGAGAAGGCTATCGTGAGCTGGTCGATGCTGCACCTGCTCCAGTTGACCGGGATGAACGAGGTACTCGAGGCGGCCATCACACACTTCTCGTCCGGACACTCGCAGTCCGTGGAGTCGTGCTCCATGCCGAAGTTGTGGCCCATCTCGTGGGCCATTGTGGTGGCCACCATCGCAGGATTCGGGCTGTGCTGCATGCTCACTCCGCCGGAGTACTCGTACGTGCAGATGGGACCCTTCAGCGCCTTGCCGACGACGCCTCCGGTGAAGGTCTCTTTGGTCAGCAGCTGGGCATTGTCGTTGGGGTGATCCAGCACCAGTTTCGTGCTGCGGTAGTTCAGAAAGTTTCGCAACGTCACATCGCCGTCGTTGGAGAACTCGATCTCGTTCGACTCGTTCCAGATCACAACGCCCACCAGAGCCACAAATATGTTCAGTGGGACATAGAGCTAAGATTAAGATGATGAAGTGAAGATTAGAAAAATAAACTAGTGCTTTTACTAAAGATTTATTACTCACCGAATTGATAATGTTGGCCAGCGTCTTGCAATGCTGGTGAACCTTCTTGGCGCTCTCCTGGAAGTTCTTGTACACCTTGTTGTCCACCACGATGACCAGTTCCACGTAACTGGAGTGCTTGTTGGCATTGTAGGGACCTCGGATCAGTTGACTGCTGTCGTCGGCCTGTCGCCTCCTTCGGAGCAGGGTTCTCTGGAATTCTCCGCCATCGAGGCGGAGTGGCAGTGCAGGAATCTCCGCTCCCAGTTCGTTATCCTCGTGGTCGTGGCTGTGATCGTCCTTGTGGCTGTCGTAGCCACAGGTGGCGTTCGTGGGATGCATGTCCTCCTGCCTGTGTGGATAACAAATCGAAGGTAATATGATATTTCCGTGGGCAACAAAAGCAAATTAATAACGGAAGTGATGATGGTGGCGCATAAACATAATGAATGGGGAGGTCAGTCATGGTTGCGGGTTTCGTTCTGGTCAGGGAACTCGGGGAAAGTATGCCCGAAACGGGCAAATATTTGTGGCCCACAAATAGGTAAACATTTGGCCAACAATCCCCTTCCGTTCGGAATTCCCCCCGAAACTCATAATATTTGCCCGACTGCCCTAACATTTATGACAAGTGAGCAAACAATATTTCGCTCGGGTCGAAAGGGGCCAAAAAACGGCGATTAGATAAGCGCCGTTTAGAAAAGAAAAGCAATTCTTGATCGGTATCTCGAATCGAGGAAGAAGCACCATATAGTTCGATTACGTGGTTTATCTTTAGCCGCACCAATTGAGGGTACTTGGTATTTAAAGCCATAAATACGTGTTTATTAAGGGGAAGTTTATATTGTCGGTATAAAGACACAACTTGAATAAAATTCAATTAGCTCACAGATTTAGGTTGAATAAACTATTTAAAATGCTGTCCATTTTTGTCACCTTCTTTTTGCTATATGCTCTGCTAACCTAATTTACTCATTGCGCACATTCCAACTCACCTGAGCAGATAGTGGTCATCCTCCAGCCGTCCGCTTCCATGGACATGGGGATGGATGAAGTACGTTTGCCTCCCATCGAAAACGATGCCACTTAGAGCACCTTCACAAGTGGAGAGGGCTACCACAGAATCCGGTCGACCACGAATGTGTCCCTGGAGGGGTTAACCAAATGAAATGGGAAATTACTTCACGCTTCAAAAGAACCAAGAACACTTGAAAAACAGCATTAGTACGTTTGAGAGTTTCAAATAAATATTAGGAATTTAATTATTAATATTTACTTTCAGTAAAATAATTGAATTATGGAATTTCGAATTTTAATTTTCAACATTCAGTTTTTTCAATACGTTCTTAAGCTGCGTTTTATATTCATTTCTTGAAGTGATTTAAAGGATGTTCCGAACTCACCTGATAGTGGCATAAATCAACCTCAGTCTTGGTGAAGTGGCGCACCACATGGCCAGCGGTGGCTGCTCCGCTGGAGGAGTTCTGGGTCCGCAGGAAATGGTTGTCGGGCAGCAGGCGATCGTTTCGCTGCAGGTCGATGGTGATTCGCTGGCCCTCGTGGGTGTAGCTCAGGCTAATGTGCGGCGCGTGAAGGCCGTCCTGCAAAAAAGAAAAGAGCAACGATGATAACAACGTTAAGAAGATTAAGCCAATTGAGTCTGGTGCGGTCGTCCCAGTTTATTTCATTTTTGCATGCTAATTGTGGGCGTGACAAAAAGCCGCGGTGCGAATGTGTAATGTCCTTTTCGCGGCAGGACTTTACAAAACTTTCACCCCCCATTTTTTGTACATGTGTGGGGTGTTGAAACTAATTAAAACGGGTTTGGTTTTTTGTTACCGCACCCACTGAATTCCACCCACTTTTGTTCCTAGGCATACCATGAATTTCGGTAAAATTTATGTGTTGCTTTATTTTCGAGTTAATTTTGATTTTCCCGTTGGAATGGCAAATGGTTGGCAATGTTCAAATTTTTAATGAATTTTAAATGGCAAAAAGTTTGGTGCTAAGTAAACAACATAAAATAAATGTTTACTCAACAAACATTTGCAAAAGTTGAACGCAGTATTTGGGAAAGGATTTAAAGAACACGTATTAAAATGTGTACCTCATGTGACTTATTATTAAATGTTACTCGTTCGATTACAAGATATTTGCCAGATCATTTAGTGCTTATAAAGATAATTCAGACTAAAGGAAAGGTTGTTATGTGTTATCACATAACGTTCCATCTGGTGCATAATTTAGCACAATTATTAGACACGCTTTACCCTTGAGTCGTCCTTGGGTACTTGGCTACTTACGGTGGCATCCAGAGTGGTGAGCAGGCTGCGCTTGGTGCGTCCATGTTGCACCTGCGGTCGTATCACAGTGTGAGTTTTGAACTCGTCGAGGACGTGTAAATAATCGGCGGTGTGAGCTGCAATAGAAGAAGGCGGGGAAAAGACTCGTTATGCTCGTTATGGCGATGTAAATGCTGTTAATTACAAACTACTTGGGCCGCACCCAGAGCCCCTCCCTTTTAGCCTTTCAGCATTTTGCTTGGAGGCGAACAAAGCCTTTTCGTGGTGTATCTAATAGGCTTAAAGTCAACGCCGGCAGGCATCCAAAACGCTGACAACTTGAGCCCGAAATTAAGGCGGAGCGAATGCCGTGCTCTGATAATCAGTTAACATGTTGCCGGGCATGTTGAGATACTCTGATAAGATTCACAGCATCGCATCGCATCGCATCACTCATCTCGGGCTTCTTGGGCCTTTTTTTTCAGGCCAGGGGCAGTGCTAAAATTAGCAAGTTCATAAATAATATTATACGAGTATACTATAGATACGGACCAGACTTTTGGACGAGCGCAGAACACGTCTAATTAATGCGAACCGCCAGACAGCGCAGATGTCTGACAACCCTGTCGTGTATCTCGCAGATACAGATGCGCTCAGCAGTTGCAGGCGGGGCAAGATACAATTGTGGTCAAGATAATAGCAAAAGGGGTTATTTCTGTCAAACTTTTGTTACCAAGCAGGCTAAATGCATGCTTGATTGGTTCTTCATTTTCTTAATTTATTATTTAGCAGCTTAGAACTAGAACTTTTAACTTAAAGTTAAGTTAAGTTGAATAATCAATATGGAGTTACAATTTTTTAGTCAAATTTAAAGAGGTATTAAATTCGCTGTTCTAAATTTTTAACCACAATCGTGTTGAGCTTGTACAAGTGGAAAAGTGGACACGCAGACCCCAGAAGCCAAATCACTCCAGTCCTGAGGCCAACACGAGAAAACAATAAGGCAAGAAGCCAAAGTTACCCCATTTCTGTCTCCCCCAAAACCACTTTTTCTCCTTTTTTATTCCAACTGCTGCAAATTCAGAACTCAGTTCTCCCTTTTCCATGCTCAAAAGTCACTCTCCAGCGCCAAATGTCACACGCGTCAGGGCTTTTTGTTTTACACGACGCAACGCGTCACAAAACGCTGAAAGTACCAAGCCATCAGAACAAAAACGAGAATCTGCTGTATTTATTTTTACCACGCCGACGTTTAACGCAAAATCATGAAGAGGCCGCCAAGTGAGTTATATATAAAAACATATATTTTTCTTGTTTACACTTTATTTATGATGCGCTCTATGGTTTATAAAGGGAATCTTTGGCTTGCAAAAAATCTCTTGGGGGTCAAAAGAGGGAACTAAAGCCAACAGAAACGAGGAAAACAGTCAATTTCAGTTTACCCAGCAAATATACATATATAAAATCAAAACTTAATAAAAATTTCCTCCTTTAAATTAAAGCAGAAACATATTTTTATAACCCATTTATTATGTGACTAACAAATGTAAATTATAAATAACATGTTCGGCATAAAAAGGGAAACAACTTTCAGACATTTAGGAACACCTTTCTATATATAGGTGATTAATGGGTTAAGCGTGATAGAATATAAAATTGCCTTTTTATTTCCCAGAACCATTCAAGTAATTTCAAAAGTGCATTGATTACAAATTATTGAATAAGCAATTCGTGATTTTTGCACTAATAAATAGGAATTTCCTTGAGGCTGTTTGTTTAGATGTTTTCTATGCAAATCTAAAATCAAATTAAATTCCAAGAAAAGCTGAATGTGTGGAATTCAGTCACTAAGAAGTGTGACCGGCAGAAGGGGCTGAGCTGGTAAAACTACTCAATGGGTGAGACATCATAAAATAGAACTAATGACTGGCAGACTAATGAAAATTCCCTTTGACCCAAATCTATCCCTTCCTTGGGCATCTGCTGGATGTATCACCATATGGAAACAGGGGAGCTTGGTGGTATTTCTGGCTTATTGTTTACGGAAAACAATTAACCCAAAGCAAACTTGAGTGATTGATTGGCTCGGAAAACTAATGAGACTTACGGCCAAGCCCATTCTCCGCATCAATAAGTTTTTCCGGCTCATGTGGGCTAACTACTTTTTCTTTTTTGGGAGAACTTTCTTAAAGCTGCAAAATAACTTTATATCTACAAGTGGGTGTCGAGTTTCTCGGCTGATAAGCAGCTGCAAAAGCGGCGATAAGGATGCACAAGAATGCATGTGTGCTGGCAATCCGAGAATCCAGGACACCCAACGCCGTGGCACCAAATTGTTGGCCAACTGGCGCCGGGAGGCGCCTCAAGGACTATTGTCCTGAAACACTCTGTCGAGTGGAAACTCATTAAAACTAGAACACAACAGAAGCACCCACGCATAGATAGCTCTCGGCAGACAGATAATTTCACAGATTCCACTGGGACAAATTACGAGGATTATTTGTTATTAGTTGGGTAAAGTAGGTTATTCAGTTTCTCATTTTAAATATTTTATTTTTGATTTTAATTAAGTTTTTAAAGATAGAAGGGATCACTTTAATGAATCGAAGTACAAAAATGCACAGCTTTTTTTCTATTTATATTTTCTTTTAAGAAGCTTTCTCTTTTTTCAGTGCAACTCTCAACAAATGGGAAATTATCACACGCTGAAACCAAGTCAAGTCGGAGTTTTGAGCCAGAGGCAAACATATGGCATAAGGGTTTCCCAGCCGAGGGTAAACCAGTCCGTCTGCCCGTCCATCATCGCACGGGTCATGCATTGAGTGATGATGGATTCCGCCGTCTAAAATAAGGAACAAATTACAACCCGATGCCGCCTCTTCCTCTCCTTTCATTTTTTTTTTGACGAACTGATGTCGTCGCGTACTTTGATGTTCCCTACATGCCGATGATGATGATGCAGAATGATGGCTGAGGATGAGGTTGCTGGCTAAGGATGTTTTGGTCTCCGGTGCCATAAACTCTGTTTGTTTGGACTTGTTTTTGTTTGCATTTTTCTCCGGGGGGCGAAAAACGGCAGGGAAAGCCCGCAGGCTTGAGACTGATTTTGATTTCGGCTCACACACATTTAATTTTATATCTCCGCCACTGCATTTGTCACTTGTCAACCCCCAAGGGGTAAACTCCGATCGGGGGAGGGGTTAATAAATAAATGTGTCCCCACTCTCCTCCAGTTCCATATAACAATCAACGGAGGCCACAAAAAAAAATGTATTAATAACTGCTGGCGTGCCATAAAAATATGAAATGAATCCAATGGCTAAAGCATTTAGTTTTTACAGTGAACTTCACATTGAACTCGGAATCGAATGGGGGGGGAATGGAAACCATTTCTACAGCTTCCCATTTGAATGATGAAAAATGTGAAGCCTTCTCGAGTGGCCATTGGGCCATTGAATTCTTCAATCATAGCCCGGGGCATTTAAATATTTTAAATTATGACTGCCGGGGGCCCGAGAAGATATGCCAAAATCAATTTGGGTAGAGTTCTTCGGGGGATTCCATCGTAAAACTTCCAACACTTTAACGCAGCCCCCGAAAAGAAGAGAAATATTAATAGAATCTCGCTGCCATAAACAGATTAGTGGAGGCGAGGGCGTGGCCAAAGGGGGCGGGGGGATTTCCACTTTGGTGCGAAGGAAAATGCATTTCTACTAATACAAAAAAAAATCGAACCGAATCGAATGTGTGCCTAATTGTTAAACAAGGCGAGCAGGAGACGATGACGTAGGTTGTGTGTTTCGGACTCGAATTCGGATTCGGATTTGGGACTTGGCTCCGATTTTGGATTTTGGGCTGTGAACTGCAGCCGAATACAAATTGGAAGTGCATACGAAAGTTTTTCCTCTTCCACCCAAACAAAATGCGTTTACTGCCGCCGCTCGAGTATAATTGAATAATAAAAAAAAAATTCAATTGTTTTTTGGTGCTCAAACGAAATTAAATGTTGAAGAGAAATTCAAAACAAACTCCCCCCGACAAACACAAACACAATTGAAGGGAAGACGACACGCACACACACTCATCGCAATTTAATTAAATTGTTTGGCTCCTAAAAGAGGGGTTCTAAATTGAAAGTACGTTGCCATGGCATAAATGTAAAAAACATTTAGAGAGAAGTTTTAAAAAAGAAATTTAAATAATTTATATGATTTTTATTGGCATGTTTATGGGAATGGGAACTATAAAGCATTGCTTTTATAACTTTAATGATTAAATCAAAGGGAGAACGAAGTGAGTTGCATATGAAAGCAATAAATATGAAATGAAATAGCTTGAAAGGTAACAAATTTATCGTTAAATAGTTCGCTTTAGATGTAAAAATTAACAATCTTACATATCATCATCTTTCGCTAAACATCTTGGCACCTACTGGGAAACACATTATGAATTCAAATCGTTTATTCATCCATTTACCAAATGGGTCAAATCCGAAAGTAGATCTCTCTCCTCCGTTTCGAACAGTAGCTTCCATCACAACACCTTTCCCCTCGATTTTCACCTGACAAAAGCCTGCAAAATCTGTGCCCAGTCAACAAATGCAACAGGCCACGCAATCTGAAGGCCAGACACGAACACCAACTGAATCTGAAACTGGGAATCTGGGTCAAACGCAAAACTGCGCCAGCGCAGCTCCGAAAACTCCAATGCGGGAGATAAGCTCCGCTGATTCAAGGTTGAACATGAGTGTATGTACACCTCTTGAGTACCCCAAAATCAGGTCAAAGTAAGAAAGGATTTCGGGAATATAGTTCTGTCTGGTTTTCAAACAGTATACTTTTTTGCATGATACTCACGTCTCACCTGATGGATTTCAGTGCAGGTGAGACTCCCAACGAGACATCAGCGAGACAGAGGGCTTCCTCTTCATATTTCATTCAGGAATACATTGTGGGAAACCTTATGCACTTTAAGACTAAGCCTGGTTTGAATTTTAATTAAAACAATATTTATTTATTATAGAAAAATTATGTAAAACCATTTTGAAACATTATGCTGCTTTACAAGTAAAACACTTTTACAGAACTTGAAAGTTTCTTTATTCTCTTCATGCTGTTAAAAAGTAGGATTTCCTTTG